TGCCAAGACAAATCTCACTTCCAAAAATTACAGTCCCTCTGTATTTTCTGTTTTCCTAGATTCTTTGAAACTGCTTCTTTGGAGATGTAATATTCTATTTTGAGAAGGTTTTTGTATGCTTTACAAATTAAAATGGAAAAATCAGCTCAGGAAGCTAGACCCGGAAGGCACCATCGTGGTCATTTAATCTAAATATTCACCTCACGATTGAGGAAGGAAGGAGAATATGTCCTAAACTAGGTGGGACACCACGTCCACCAACTGCTCAAATATTAATTGCATTAATTATGACACTTGCATGGCTCTAACACTAAACACGTATGTATTGAGCTCCTAATACATGCCCACCAGGGTACTGGTCCCTGTGGATCCAGCAGTAGACAAAGGATATTAAGTTCCTGAGAAAATGGAATTTATGTTGAATAAGAATGAGGCATACTGGGGAAGAGGAGGGGAAGAAAGAGAAAAAGAAACTATAAGCAGCCTCATTTGAGATAGTCTAACTCTGTTAATCATGTTCCTGTCAATAACTAGAGAAAAGCCCCTTCCCCCATAGAATGAAAATATTTCTACTTTTTATCACTTTTCATTTCATTTCTTCTACTGGGTTTAGGACGTTCTTGTTGCTCTGCCTCTAGTTCCTTTAGGTGAGCTGTTAGATTTTGGACTTGCGCTTTTTCTAACCTCTTAAAATAGGCCTGGAGAGCAATGTACTTTCCTCTTAGGACTGCCTTTGCCGCATCCCGTAGATTTTGAATTGTTGTGTTTTCATTTTCATTTGTTTCCATATATTTTTAAATTTCATCTCTAATTGCCTGATTGGCCCATTCATTCTTTAGTAGGGTGTTCTTTAACCTCCATGTTTTTGGAGATTTTCCTGACTTCTTCCTGTAATTGATTTCAAGTTTCAAAGCATTATGATCTGACAGTGTGCATGGTATGATCTCCATTCTTTTATATTTATTGAGGGCTGCTTTACGTCCCAGTATGTGATCTATCTTGGAGAATGTGCCATGCGCACTTGAGAAGAAAGTAATTCCTTGGCCTCAGGATATAGAGTTCTAAATATAACTGTCATATCCATCTGGTCCAATGTGTCTTTCAAGTCCATTATTTCTTTAGTGATTTTCTGTCTGGTTGACCTATCCATTGCTGTAAGCGGAGTAGTAAAGTCCCCTGCTATTAGCACATTCTTATCTATAAGCTTGTTTCTGTTTGTGATTAATTGTTGTAAATATTTAGGAGCTCCCATATTCAGTGCGTAGACATTTATGATTGTTAGTTCTTCCTGATGGATGGACCCTGTAATTATTATGTAGTGCCCTTCGTCATCTCTTGTTATTGTATTATAACGAACAAGAGTCTTAGGTTTTCTTGTTAGGAACTGTCATCCCACAAATCGTCTAACTTCTGTGCACGTGACTTCTCATCTGAAAACTGAGGCCTAGACCACAGGATTACTTAGGTTTCCTTCTTCCTCTGAGACTCTTCATTAAGCAGAGCCTCACAAGTGTTTTGAATTACCCTTCCTGCTCTTCCGAGCCCCTTACCTTCCAATGAAGGGCTCTGAGAATGATGCCTCAGTTTCTATATCTGAAAAGACCTTCTGGTTCTTGTGGTATAGCTTGTGACGCAGTGATAATGGTAGAAAGTCCACATATTTCCTGAAGCACAGCAATCTTCCGTTTTTTCTTTCCTTTTAGATCCATAGAACCAAAAACTGACAAGACCATCAATCATTGTGCAGGAGTAAATACTGCTAAACTTGTCAGCTTTTTGATCCTTCCCAGATCATTTTTTTTTTTTAGCTCAGTTCTTGGAAAAGGAAACCTTGCCAAGGCTTTAATTTTCCTTTGTGGTGTCATATTTGCCATGCCAAGGATAGAATATTGAGGTCATATGATTTTAGGACTCAGAAAATCACATGGTAATAAAAGAGGAACCAAACTAAGTAACTATATCTGAGTAGTGATATAAGAATGAGAAATAAAATTCACTTTGGAAAGAACCTTAAGAGGCACACTATCTCATGCCGAGTTTACTTTGTCAGTTTCTTTAACTGGTCTACTGGAGACACTAAATAAAGGTTTTCCATAGGGCCAAGCTTTGCATTCATTTTGGGTGGAATTTTTGTTAAATGCCACAAAGTATGCAACAACCCTTCACTTCCAGAAAAGAGCCAGTGTGGGGCCACCGTGAAATTGATCCATGGTGAGCCAGTTGTTCACTCTGGATTAGAGCCTGGCTGGGAGGCAACTCCAGTATTCCTCCAAGCAAGTTTATGTACCAACAACAGAGAACAAATTGGCTGCAGATCAGGAATATGTGGTAGGTCATGTAGCTGGCTAGTGGTGACAGTCTCATTCTGCAAGTGGAAAGGCATCTCCCATGCAGTGCTCCTGTGTCTTCTTTCCTCATATCTAAGTCCTCCCTTTGTTATAAGATTAAATACAAGTTCATCTTCCTCTACAAATCTTCACAGACCACTTCAGTCCATGAAGATTACTGTTTTGTGTGAATGAAAAACACAACTATTTGACTCATTTATCAATTAAGCAAGTTCCCCATCTTGTAAATTATGTTGTATTTTCTTGCTTCTTTAAGTTTTAGGTGTATACATCCCTTATCAGAAACTAGATTATAAATTACATTGAAAAAATTTTCATCTTTGGGCCTGCTACTATATATTGAATATGTTTAGCTAGATTTGCTCAAGATGTAGCTTTTCTTAACAGTGTCACAGACAATATTACAAAAAACTTAGTTAACTTTAAGCAAAATTTTAAAGTATGCTGATAAATCTTCTTGACTCTATTATTTTCATTTTTCCAGGGAGCCACAGTATCCTCCAACTTTATTTTGCATTTAGGCAGCCAATAGCTTTAACTTCTTCCCCCTAATCAACACATGTGGTCAGGGAAGAATTTAGCTTTGGTCACTTTTATCTCAGTTAGAAAAAACTTAACCTTTCTTTCCCAAGAGAATTAACAATGTCACCCAGTACTACTAGTAAAATGATAGACTTTATCATCCTGCAGAGGAGTTTCACATGAGTAAGTTTGGTAGAGAAAGAGAGAAAAAGGCAGAGAGATGGTGGCATTGATATCCCCAAATGGGGGGAAATTATACTACTCTGGTAGCAATCTCCTCTAGCAACCCATTGGCTCAAAGACTAGAATCGGCAACATCTTCAACTATAAAGTCCTAGTAAGATATTCAGGACCATCCAAACTCGGAACTAATCACTGCTTTAAAGACTGTCATTGAAGACATTTTCCCAAGAAGAATTTCATGTCAATACTTGAGATAACCCATACCCTTTTATTAAGGAAGACTGGTTATTGATAGAAGCTAAGCATTTCTTCCAGAGCAGTGATTATACTTTGTACAGATACTAAGCAAAAGCAACAACAAAAAAAGAGAACATTAATCATCAGCCAACATTCACCGTAAGAGTCCTACTCAGTGAAGAGAGCATATTATAGGGGAGGAGAGCTTTAGCATAAAAATATGTATTGGCAGTTCTCAAAACACTTTAACTCAAAAACAATTCACTAATTAAAGAAACATGCATCCATCATAAATTTGCAGGATTTCGCAGCATTAGGGTTCAAATTTTAGAAAATTCTAATGTAAAAACACTTGCCGATCTTCCAAATGATGTAATGATACTGATTTGCTAAGTACCTAATTATCATCTTCATCATTATTTATCCAAAGATATGAAACCTTTTAGTTTTGATGACTAACTAAAGTGACAGTATAAAAAATAAAGTTTTGTTTGAATTGATGAACATATGCACCATTTTCTTACAGGTAGGAAATGATTAGAATTATCTAGCAATTTTTAGATATGTCTATTGGATAACCTGTTGTTGAAACTTAATTTTAATTGCCCCTGAACTGAAAAGTATGATGTTTTCTGGATCTGTAAAAGTGGGAAAATATTCGTTCATTTCATAATAGGAGAGATACTTTTCTAGGAATGTCTTTGTAGGCCTTTCTCTACATGGGCTCTAATAAACCCATTTCTACAACTCACAAATCAGAAAGTTTTACCAAATAGCGAATCATTTTGCTGACCTCGGAGTGGAAATGTCATTAAGCATTTGGTAGGTGGTAGTGTAATTCAAAGGTATTACCAGTGTAGGTGTTCTTGGCATTGACCCATGGCATCACCTGTAGTATTGTAACAGAAGAAATTAAGACTGAGGCAAAGGGGGTCAGGGCAATGGAAAAAAAATGGCAAATGACATTCCTTCTAGCAGGTGAGATACCAGCAGAATTACCATAGTTATGCTTCTTACTAGATTTCTCCTTTTTCAGGGTCTGGAAAACAGTCAGCAGATTTGCCAAATACAGCAGATTTGCCATTGGAGAACAGAGGCTTTGCTATTTCAAAACAGAAGATTGTTAGACACTGCTTTTGAAATGATTTCAAATCAATGTTTTTAAAGGTTGTCATCTCAGTTGTTAAATTTTTTAAATTAAAAAGGAATATTTTGTATGCACATAATAGAAAGCTCATTATGCATGATTAGATGCAAAATGTTCCCCTAGGCTTTTCTCTTCCACTACCCATGTATGATTTCAATCTCTCCCTAGCCTACCTGCATCATCTTGGGCAGGCTTTTCTGTTTCCTGTGACCTTCTTCTCTTCCTAGCACCATACTCCTGATCCCAAAGGGCACTGGCTCTAAAACAAAGGCTGTGGCTCTTTAAGTTGTACTCTTGCTGGGGCAGGGGCTACTGTGGGTACCCTATAATCACATAGCTTTTTGTTCGATATTAACCGACATGATGTAAAAACATTTGTACTGAGTGAGATGGTAGATGTGCTTTTTCTTCCGAAGCTGCTCTGTACAAGTCCAATCAGAATCTGGCAGAAGGGAAATATTCAACTATTTTAAGCTTGAAACGTAAATTTATGTTGTGTTTTGAAGGAAGGCAAAGGGGAACCAATTCTTATCATAACCTACTATTTTTCCTCTCCTACGCAGGCCCACCAAGTCCATCACTATGACCGATGGGGACTATGACTATCTGATCAAACTCCTGGCCCTTGGAGATTCAGGCGTGGGGAAGACGACATTTCTTTATCGATACACAGACAATAAGTTCAATCCCAAGTTTATCACCACAGTAGGAATAGACTTTCGGGAAAAACGTGTGGTGAGTTTTTAACCATACTGTTATGTTAACCTTGTCGTCGACTCCCCGCCCCCATATAAAATAGAACTAAGGAGCTATGTTTACTGCATTGCAAGGAGTCTTTTTTTATTTTTGCAGGAAATTCATAACCTGTCACTGTAATTCAATGTGGAATATTTTTAACTTTGTCAAGCATAAATAACAGTTTGCTAAGAAAAATGTTGAGTGGCACGATGACTTGCCTCCAAAAGTCTACAGGACAAATAAATAGTTTATGGATTTATATGAATTCTCTAGGAATCTTTCAAAACCCAAATCATTCAGGTGGCAAAAACATTCACTCTTGATCTGAGTTAAGCTTCTCAATAAGAACTAGTGTTGCTCATTTCTCCACTCTTAAGAGAGAAGTTAATAAAAGGATGATTGGCAAATAGCTGGAACATGAGCTTTGTAAGTTCCTGCCGCATTTGTATTTATGTGTAGACTCAGCTATCAATCACTAGCTTATTATGAACAGAATGTGAGACCAGTCCATGCTATTTTACAAGATAGGGGAGTTTAAGTGAGAATTACAACTGCTTTCTGCTCCTATGCTAGACGCTAATGACAGGAATAAGGATATTGTGACATGTGAGACATGTAGCATAGACACATAAGCTTAGCCAGATTTACTGCCACCCAAGGTATTTGTGATTGCCAACATGGCTGCTGCGTCCAATTGATGTAACAAGTCTACTCTTTTCTTTGAGAATTGGTGGTGGTGGGGGGGGGGGAGGAAATAGTGGTTGAGAAGTTAAATTCATGGTTCCTTATAAATCTTGTGCCTGATCTGAAAGTCAGTACATTTTAATGCATTCTTAGCAACCTTCTTCTAACCCCTCCAGGATTTTCCTGTGACTTCACCGCTCCCAAATGCCTCCACTCGTCTAGGTAGAAGTCCTTACAGAGTTTTCCCTTTAAACGTTTTTACTAACCCATACTTAGGAGAGCTGGTTAAGTTCTAAAGTTGTTATGCTTTGCTGAAATAAGAAGTCAAAAGGCCATAGTTTTGAAAATTTAAACATTAAGACAAGAGCCTTTGGAAAAATGGCTAGTAAAGGAAGACTTGAAATATCTTGTGTAAACTTATTAAGAAAGCCTGTGCATATTTCATGGGCAGGTCGTTTTAAAAGTCCAAGTCACAGTAAAAGATATTCAGGTATTAGTAAAGCATTTTATTGTTTTAGAAGTGCATTCACATCTACTACTTAGGTTTGTAGGAACTCTGTAAAATAGGAAGAGACTGTGGGTCTCAATTTGCTGTAAGAAAATAAGGTTCAAAGAAGTGAAATGAAGGGTTGATACTTGAACCTAGAACTTGGGTCCTAAATCTAATGTTTGCTGCCTCCATGAGGAAGTGACAGAAGGTGTCTAATTTAAGTTTGCAGTATGCCTAAATTGTGTTGAAAATCATACTTGTACTTGACATTTAAAAGTGAGAGTCTATGTGATACTTCTGGAAAAAAACAGAGCAAATATTTATTCTGCACTCTGAACTTTGATTATAGTAATTGAGAAAAAACATGCTGAGTGAACCCGGAGAATTTAAATGTTGACAAAATCCAAAGGAATATCAACTGATGGAAATTTATCTTTTAGGTTTATAATGCCCAGGGGCCCGACGGATCATCAGGAAAGGCATTTAAGGTGCATCTTCAGCTATGGGACACTGCGGGACAAGAGCGGTAATAGTAAATTACTTTGTTTCTAGCTACAAACAGCTTAGAAAACTTACTTTAAAGTGACTGCCGCACGTGATCTTGAAAGTCAGATGATCTGCAACTCTTCTCCTGGCTTCAAAATAGACATTTATATCAAGAAATAAGAATAAGTTATTTATAGTTCCTTGACCATAGCTAGCGTTGTGCATTTGGTACGATTTCAAAAATCAGATCTTCAAAAATCTCTGAAGATCCTTGTGTTGTCTTTGTACTTTCTAATGGGAAAAAAAAAATCTTCTTTAGCATTTAATTAAGTTAAGATGGGAAATTGACATGAGTAGAAGTGCAACCTGAAGAGGGAATTAAAGAAAGGCGGGTAAGACCTTTCTCATTTCTTTATCCTGTGCCACTTGACTGGCTTAGTTTTCTAAAATTTGGGTCACACCATTGCTCTCTAGCTAGAATATTCTCCTCCCTTCCCACCTTCCCTGATCCTCCCCTTTTACCAGGCCTGGCTCACGTACTACCTCCTTTGGGGGGCCTTTCTAAACACCCACCTGAGACAAACTTCCTCTTGCTCTGAACCCCTACAACACTGATCCTTCTCTCCCTTAAGTTACTCAATTAATTATATACCGCCTTATAGTAAGGTGAATCTTTTATTGATTCACCTGTGACCTTCTCACCCCAACAAAATTGTCAGCACTACCAGGGCAGAGACGTGCTTGGTTTCCTAGCATCTTCTCTGATACAATGTCCAAGGCAAGGCAAGCTCAGTAGACAAGAGTCTTGTTTGCTTAGAGCTGGAGATACTGTTCCGTTATTTGATGAAAATATATTTCTTGGAGATCCAAGCTTTCAGCATGCTAAAGACCACGCGCTAGTGAAGCTTTTCAATATCAGATTAAATAAAAATTGGCAGTGGGTTGTCAGGGAAGATATTTAGTAGGCACATACCTCCAAATCCGGCATCACATGTCTTAGAATGTTTATGCTTGTAAACACTTTAGTTTTTGAAATGCATCCAAAGTGTTCTCGCTTTCAGTGAGTGTAAACGCCAGGAGAGGTGCCGGGCCCTCTCTGTTAGCTCTTTTGACTGTGAATTCCATTTACACACATTCTTCAACATCGCTAGTTCTTCTGAAGTCATTCCTCACAAGAATCTCTGTTCATATGTCAGTTTTGTTGTCACAAAGATGTATGTTTTATAGACCAATTTAATTCATTTTTGAAGAAGTAATATGAGAAAATGTGGTTCCCATATGTCCTCACACATGACATGTCAGCCTAGCGTGATGGTAGGCTTCTCTCCTCTGCCCCCTTAAGGCAGCTGCTCCGTGAGGAAAGTGAGGAATACTAGTGATAGTCTCAGTAACACTGGGGTTATTCATCCCTTGAGAATTTTGCATTCTGTATATGTACAAGGTGTAGCGATGCAATACGATAAACAGTGTCTCACACCTCAACCCTGTGCCTAAAAACATCTGGCAGCATCATCTCTATAAGATAATGCTTATTGATAAAAGCGGTATCCTGGGAACAAGAGAAGATATCATACCCCTTACGTAAACCTCAAGGATAGAGGGCACGGCCTTAGTTCCCAGTGAGGGAGAAAGTAATAATGTAACTCTGGGATCAGTTCCTTTTGTTTGTTTGTTTTGATGTGGTTCTAGCTTTCCCCACCCCACTGACTACTGGACAGAATGAGATTGGTGAGTAAAACTGGAAATCAATTACCCTTCCCCTGGAGGAAACCTGGGAAGAATGGGCATAACAAGGGAGCAGAGTGGTCCAGGATATCAGCCTGTTGCAGAGCAAGAGTGTCCTGTGTTGCGGTGGATGCGAGAATGTTTATCCCAGTGAAATCTGTACCAAAAACATGTTTTAAAATTAACTTCGTCATGTGCTATGGGCGATGAGAGGGAATATCGTACAGTCTTGTCCTTAAATGAGACACACATACACAACTCTCTCTCTCTCAGGAAGAGAACAGAGAGAAGTTGTCTTAGCCACACTATTGTGGTTGAGTAGGAGACAATTCTGTGAATACAAATAGTCCCCAGAAAGAACACTTTCATAAAAGCGCTATATTCCCTGTGAGCTTCCAGAAACTGGTAAGAGTGATTCCACCAGAAAAAAATTGAGGCAAATTTTTGGTATTTCATGGTTTTCATGATTAATGCCTTACCAAAGAAATCAAACTTGGGAATCAATAGTCACTAAATACCTATTCTCCTTTCTTTGGTATTAAAAGAACTGTTCTCTATTGAAATCATTGAAATCTTTTGTAATTTTATATTCTTTGCTATTCTCTTTATTTCTTTTTTTCTCTTCATTTCACAAACATTTCATGAACAAAAACTATGTTCAAGACCATGAAAATGTAATGGATAACAAGTTGGAAATACAACTTCTTTCCTGTTGGGGCTCACAAGTCTAGGGTAGCATTTGAATAGATAAGGAACAATTGCAATGTAGCCTTAGGACAATATCAGGAAAACAAAGGGTGATAAGCAGGTGCATCAAAAGGAGCCTATAACCCAGATGTGGGTGTTAGGAAGGCTGCTTGGGAAAGTGATATTTCCTCTGATAGATAGCTAGATAGCTAACTAGCTAGCTAGCTAGATAATAGATGGATAGATGATAGGTAGATAGATAGATAGATAGATAGATAGATAGATAGAGATAGGTATAGGTATAGATATAGATACAGATATAGATATAGATACACACACACACACACACACACACACACACACACAAACTCATACACAATGTATGAGTGAGTGAGTCTTATCCAGGCTAAACAGGTGGGAGATTGAAGAAGCATTAAGGCAAAGTTACCCACAAAAAGAACAGCATGTGTGAGATCCCAGGGGAGAGAGTGAACTTTCTAAGAACTAAAAGAAGATTGGTATGCCTGTGGGTAGTCAGGAGATGAGGCAGGATAGATGAGCAAGGATCAGTTCCTGCAGAGCCTGACAGCTTATTAAAGAGTTCAGTCATTATCTTAAGAGCAACGCATCATCGTTTAGATGTTTTCAGCAGAGGATTTATATAACCAGGGGGAAGTAGCCCTGGTATTTAACCTCCATGACGGGGAGGGTCCCAAACAAAACTGGAGACAAGAAGTCTGTTAAGAAGGCTGTTGAAGTTATTCAGGGGAAAGATAATAGGTTCAAAAATAAAGCAGATGGATGGAAATGAGAAGGTTAGGAGATGCTTGGTGATTGTATATAGTAGGTGAAGGAGAAAGAAGAGCTGTGGCATCACTGAGGATGATGATGCATTGACAGAAGAAGAAATTAGGAAGAGGGGCCCATTTGGGTTTAGACATGGGAAGTTAGAGTTGCCTCAGTTTCCTCCAACTGGAAAATTCCATACAACAGGTAATTGGGTGTGCAGCATGAAGGACAGGACAAATCTAGACCTATTCATTTGGGGTCCAACACATAGGTGATAATTGAACCAGGGAAATGGAAGAGATTACTTAGTGAGTGTAAGTAATGCAGAAGGGGGTTAAGAATAAGACTCCAGGGAAACCAAGAATCCACAAATAGGCTAACATAGGAGTCCAAAACTTAGGAGGACACTTAGGATAGGAAGTAGTATTCTGTATTTCAAAGTTCTGTGCCTTTCTAAATACCCATTTCCAAATTCAATTCTGTATCAGTATAGCCCAGACCTTCTCTGATCCCTCTGTGTGGTCTCTGTTTTGCCCATTTTTAACACTGAAGTAGAGCTAAGCACACCTTCAGTTTCACTGAAGATTTTGGGGTGCAGGAGGTAGGAGCAGAGGAGAAAGTCTTTACACTGTACATGACAGAATATATTCTTCAAAATCCTCTATTAGAGATGAGTGTTCTTGCTTTCTGTCTCCACCTACTGTTTCTCTGACCTTGCTTTGCTTCCCCTAATCATCTTCCTCTTTCTCCTTTTTTCAGTGTTTTTTTCCCTCTTTCTCAGGAGACATGGATGCCAGACTCAAATTCAGCTCTACCCCCAGAATGCTTCTAAAAGAGTTTTCTCACCAATATTGTTTTTTCTCTGCAAAAGAACCCCGTCTCCAGCTGCTAACAAGTTGTGGTTTTCTGCATGTAATCATAGGCATTCATTTTTAGGTTACCGAGTGCCAAGCGTTCTTCTAGGCACAGACAAGGGAGATTGAAAAGTTTAAGTTAAAGTCCCCATTTGAAAGTGGCTTCCATTTTAGCTGTAGACCACAATATATCCATGAGCCAATAAGGGGCCTAACAAATCCAAGGGCTGTGTAAGCCAGTGTGTGATTGAATGTTACAAACTCTGTGTATATAAGTGCTCTAAACCATAAAGCCAGGATGTGGTCCTAAAAAATGTCTACAGCTAGAGGTCCTCCCCTGACCCTTTAGCATTCTTCCTACCCACTTTCTCATTCTGTAGAAGAATCCATGAGGGTTGCCATGGAGATTTCACATTTCAAAGTAAACTAGTGTTGTGTGTGTTGTCATTGTAGTATGTTTGTGGGCTAACTTCCAGGACTATCCACTGTGTTTTCTTGGCAGATTCCGGAGCCTCACCACTGCATTTTTCAGAGATGCCATGGGCTTCTTATTAATGTTTGACCTCACCAGTCAACAGAGTTTCTTAAATGTCAGAAACTGGATGAGTAAGTGGGATTAACTAACTTGCATTGGCCACATTGGGCCTCAACTTCTTTGCTTCACAACATGAAACCAGATTGGGTTAACTTTGATTAGCTTTGAGAATTCATGGGTTTAGCATTTCCTGTTTCACCTTCAAAGTGATGGCCTTAATGTGGTTCACCTAAGGTGACTTGGAATTGTATCTTAGAAGAAGCCTATGTAGCTCCATCACCACCTATATTCAAAGTCATTATAATTGCAATGGAAAGGCTATTAATTCCACTTATCCAATAAGCCTTAAAAGATTTCTTACAACTATGTGAGCTGCCACATCTAACCTGGAAAGGAGACAGGGAAAAGCAGCAGTGTTTTCTGAGAGGGTTCACTGACACCTAAAAATGTGTGCCCTTGCGCATGGGTTAACTGAGGGATTAATTAACCAATGGATTAATTTGGTGAGAAACTCCTCAAGAGCAGACCAGCCATGTGAAGATAAGGTACAGTGTGTCAGTCATCTCACATGGAAATTGTACATTTTTGGAAAAAACGTTTAAATGTAAAGGGGCCTTGAATAGAAAAATGCATACAAGTTAGATATAACATTGAGTTTAAAGTAGCCTAAATAGTTACTAAAGACAGATGGACATATGTCAGCCCAGGGTAGTAGCATTTGATTTCCTTTTTAAAAAATTGATATAGCATTAAAGAGAACATTTCGTTTGCATTTTTATTACAAATATGAGTTTTGTTCCTAATGGGGTATACAAGCTATCCTATGGGACCAGTGAATCATCATTTCTAGATTTGTAGGGGACGTCTATGGCCAGGGTGATTTTTTTTTTTTTTTTTTTAAATAAATGGATCATGTTATTTCCCTGCTCAAAGTCCTTCTGGGACCTCCCAAATTACTTAGAATAAAATCCAGAGTCCTTCACTCACCTGCAAGGCCATGGACATAAGGCCTTGGATTCCTGTGTAATTAACTCTTATTCTGCCCCAGCTCGCTGGCCTCCAGCCAAATGTCTCTCCGGCTGAAGGAGACAAAAGGCATATTCCTACCTGTGGCTTTTGAACTTTCTGATTTTTTCTGCCTTGATTTCTCAGCTCCCTTTTATGGAGTGAACTAGCTCTCTTCTCTTGTTTAAGGTTTTGTTCAAACCCAATTTATCCCCTGGAGGAAGCCTTCCCTGACCACCCGTCTAAACTAGTACTCTTCCTTACTTTGTATCTCCCCAATGCACTTTATATTTCCTTCTGTCATTGCCACCACCTGACATTATAGTATGTATTTCTTTGTTTACTAATCCTTTTGACTCTCTGCCACTAGAATGGGAGCTCTATAAAAGTGCAGACTTTGTCTGCTTTGTTCCATTACAAGAGTCCAAAGCCTGGATTAGTGTCTGGCACAAAATAGTGCTCAAAAAATATCTATTTACTCTTATTACATATTATTTATAATTAATATATATAATTGCGTTAAATGCAAGTTTGATAATGCACTTGCTACCATGGGGAAAAATACCAACAAATTCTGACTTCCTTAATTGCTTTTCCAATTCAGTGTTTATCCTAGGATCTATCTCTATTTCCTTTTATTATTGTATTTTTTATCCAAATTTTGGTGGGATTATTAGATTCTCAGGAGATAAATAATAAGATTATTAGATATTTTTCAGAGAATGACTTATTCATCCTTTTTCAAGGCAGATAAAATTCTTCCTTATTTAAAAAAAATTCCTGAAGGATACTGTTGAGATTTAAGATAATTCATTGGCATGTCTCATAACATTTTAATTTTTAACACTCAAGTAATTAGTGTTATAGGGTAATCCTTGTCTTTTCCCTTAGCAAAGTTTCATAAGCAGCCCTTGAGATAGAAATTACAGTCATCTCTGTAATTTCAAAAGCACAGGTTGATAGATTTCTTATCATTTCCTTCCTTCTTTCCTTCCTTGTTCCCTCCCTCCTTCCCCCAACCCTCTTCCAGTCTATCCTTTATTCCTTCCGTTCTTTCTTCTCTCTTTTGAACAGTGTACCCTGGAGAAAAGAGAAAAACCTGTCTTAAAATTATTTCTACATGAACTTGTGGCGGTTCAGAAATGTTCTGTTCTTATAGATCATCACCTTGGACTTCAGGAGATAGAAATGTAGCAGCAGTCTCTTAAAGGAAAGAGCAAACTTACACATTTAAAAATCCTGTTTGGGGGTGCCTGGGTGGCTTAGTCAACTAAGTGTCTGATTCTTGATCTGGGCTCAAGTCATAATCTCACTGTTTTTGTGAGATCTAGCCCCACATCAGGCTCTGCAATATCAGCATGAAGCCTGCTTGCAATTCTCTCCCTCTTTCTCTGTTCCTTCCTACTACCCCCCCCAAAATAAATAAATAAACTTAAAAAAAATATGTTCTGTAATCTCTACTTTTATTTGAGGAACAAATAATATGAAGTGGTATGTCCCTTTCCCCAGATGCAGAAGAGCACTGATATGTGATCCATATAGGTGGGTCATATAAATTATTATTATGTTCACATTCTGCAATCTGTGAGACATTATCTTCATTCATTTTACCAATGAGGAGGCTGCAGTTTGGAAGAGTGGAGTGACTTGGCTAATATAACATAACTAGTAGGCAGCCAAGCTGGAGGTGAACAATTAGATTAGGAATATGAAATATGAAAAAAAAAAAGGAATTTGAAGTATGAGCAGTCATTAGACATCACTTGTTTATAACTAACGTGCTGGGTCCATCTGCTTTCTTCCTAAGGCCAACTGCAAGCAAATGCTTATTGTGAAAATCCAGATATAGTATTAATTGGCAACAAGGCAGACCTACCAGAGCAGAGGGAAGTCAATGAAAGGCAAGCCAGGGACCTGGCTGACAAATACGGGTGAGTCATTTACGTGACTGAATGAATGTAATGTAATGAATGAAGTAATGAAATTATTATGTGCTAACTGTCCCTAGACTTTAACTCATTTAACCCTTCCTAACCATATGTAGAAGATCTAGAGTCATCCCATTTTATATACAAAGAATTGAGGCATGGAATCGATGAAGGATTAAGTAACCAATGGAAGATCCTGTAGTTGTTAAGTAGCAGAACTTGCATTCAACCGAGGCAACCTGAGATCAGAGCTCATGATCTTCAACACCATATTCTACTGCCTTTCAACAAATAGCTGTAAAACTCTCAGAAATAATACCTAACGTGGACATAATATTGCCATCCTCATCCAAGCTGAGCTTAAATGGCAGATTAAAAAAATGTTAAATAACCCTCTGTAATTATAAATTGAGTTCCAACACAGACTTTAAATTTAAAACAGTTTCATCCTATCTGCCAATATTTTACTGAAGAATTCTCCTGAGAGCTTTGAAAATGTGTCTTCTTGAAACTTTTGATTCCAAATAAATATAGACTCTTTGCTTACATGTATATCCTATTCAGTGCCTGCTTAATTTCTAAGTCATATTTCCAGATAATTGATTAAAAGGGAAATGATATTTTAATGGTAATATTTATCACTAGTTGAGGTATCTCTACCCTCTTAATTTTTTTGAAACAGTGGTAATACCTTAGCTTCAAATCCCTGAGTACCTACTGTATCCATTTCCTTGTCCACAACATTGGTGATACCCGTAGGGAAAAGCAGCCCTTTTACTAACTGAGAAAAGAATGATTTTCAACTCAGCTGGCAAAATCATGATTATTACACAATCTTTCAGCCAGCCATGGTTTTTGCATGTGTGACTCATTTGTACATCTTGTTGTATCTTTTCTGATTTCTTCTCTCAAAAATATTTGTCGTCTCTTCCGTTCAAGTATACCCTATTTTGAAACAAGTGCAGCGACTGGCCAGAATGTGGAGAAAGCTGTGGAAACCCTTCTGGACTTAATAATGAAGCGAATGGAACAGTGTGTAGAGAAGACACAGGTTCCCGACACTGTCAACGGTGGAAACTCTGGAAAGCTAAATGGGGAGAAACCAGCAGAGAAGAAATGTGGCTGCTAGTCTCTGCATAGGAACTGATCATCAAAACCCCCATATTACTTCCCCAAACAGCAACAAACCACAAAATTGTTGTTGAGTAGACCACGCATAATGACATATCTTGCTTTTCTGCCAGAAAAATCTATTTTAAGAAACCAGAATAGTCAACAGTGTTCAAAAGAATTGACCAGTTGTCTCTGAGACCCCTCCAAACAAGATCAGAGATTTCTTTATGTGGTCTCACTATCATGGATGCTCAATTTGTGTTATTTTTTTTACAAAGATGAGTATATAAGAAAGTATTCAAGATGATTATTGGTTTTAAATCAGAGCAAAAATTACCATGTCACATGGAGGAAAGGGATAGTCCACTAGAGGGAAAATATAGAAAGACAGTTTTTTTCTTAAAGATTAGATTTACTTCTTATAGAATTTTTGTCCTTTTAGCTTTGCATTGGGGGGACATATTAGCTAACAATGGGTACACAATAAAGAAATCTAAATCAATCGTTAAGAATGTCATGGCTATATACACCCAATAAGCTGTCCTAGGATGGCTTACTTGCTGATAAGGTTATGAGAGTGTGAGAGTCAGACTTCTGCTAAAATATGGGATATTGTATATTAATGTCCTTTTTATATTCTTAATAAGTGGCAAATTGACAAGAACAGGACTGTGAGTGACAAAGTACAAAAGAAATGCCCTGGGAGAAAAATGAAAGTGTGGAAAAACAGCATTTGGACCAATGAAATTAAATGTGTCTGTTACAGATGGCTGGAAGAGTCATTTAGCCAAATTTCACCCAACCAATTAGAAGTTGACATTATCGGTTGGGATTAAGAGAATCTCCAGAGGTTTCCTGTTCAAACAAAATTTTGGCAATTGATTCGTTGTTCAGTCTCACATTTCATTTTTCTTAGCATATGGTCACAAGGAGAAATTAAAGGTTGCCATTATTAAATATTTCTTTTAAAATGCAGTAAAAAAAACTATTTAGCCTTGTTTTTTTAGATAAAATATGTCAGTAATATGAAAACAAAAAGTGATAATAATTGTGGGTTCCTTTTTCATTTACAAAAGCAATGGAAACTCGGAATCACATTTCTACCCTCCACAGCCACTCCTGGTTTTGAATCAATTGTAAAAATACAGGTATGTCATTTTGTAGATCAACAATTTCAGAATGATGGATTGATTTTATGGTCTCTCTGAATTTTCATGTCATTCGTCACATAAAAATTGATGATGCCTCATGCCATAAAACAATATATTTAACATTTGTTTACATGTTGCCACAGGCAAAATACCCACCCTCGAGGTATATTTGGGGGTAGGGTTGGAGTGGAGCTGTATCTTACCTCTAAAAAGTTGGTTAATCATTTTATTTTTTCACATAAAACTGCCTTTTTAAGAAAAGTCATCACAAACATATTTTCCATTGGTCTATTCTTATTATTGTGTCTAAATTGATATTACACTGTTTTTTACCTTTGTTTCTGATAAGCCTAAGGAACTCCTATTAAACTATTATTTAAATATTCGTCAGTTTTACCAATAACAAAGGCATCATGCTTCAAATTTTCTCTTTTGATCATGAGTATATAATTTTGATAGGATGGTTCCTCTTCCTATAAAATTGGCCAATTAAATTTCATTTTGCCATATTCTGTGTATATTTTTAAATTACAAACATTAGAAATCCTAAATCCCAGTCTCCCATTCTCCCCTTGAGCCTCTCTCTCTACAGTCTACATCTGGTTTTGAATCAGTTTTAGGAACACAGACCCAAAGGATTGTCTAAAATGTTCGTGCAAAATTCTCAGTGTTAATTGCTCAGTGCCTCTGACTTCTGTAGTGTAAGGACAGCTTCTAAGATCCATCATGCTTGGGTGTTCCCTCCAATGGTGTTTTTCTCTACCATGCTCTTTGTGACCTCAGTGCCTGAGCCATGGGGATAGAAAGCCTTTAGCTAAGGTCCAAAATGTTTTAACTGAAAGTAAAGTGAGCAGAAACAATATAATCCTTGCTGTGGCAAAATCTGATAAACTTCTATGGTCATTTTATTAACTCTTCTTTGAATTCAAATTGGGATGTCCCCTGCAATTCCATAATAGGGAATACTTAGTCTTTATGAAATCCTACAGGTATTCTGTTTTGGATTTTTTTTTCGGTATCTGTTCTTTTTCCAGTTATAGGATTGACTTACTTTTGCCAAGATTCTGTCATTGTCAGTTATTTAACAAGAATTTCTTCAGAGTCTATTTTAAGATAATTATTTAATAGCCGTAGCATGAAGCAGAGGGTGATGATGCCCATAATTATAGAACTATGCCTGTAAAAATAAAAATTATTGGGTAACATTCTCAAGAGGAATGACATTTAAAGAAGACAAGAAAATTAATTTAAACTAGTATTCTACTTATAAATAAGTACTTGTTCTAAAAAAATATTTTTTTTCTGTCAAGTTTGACATCTGGTCCCAAATTCTATGTCACCATTACTGGAAATAATTATTATTTCTGAATTAATAATATTAATTATTTCAGAATTAATAGTTATGTATAATTCATTTTCTAATGTCAAATTGATTTGAAATTGCTTGATAGTTTACAGACTGCTTTAAAGAATTGCATACCTCCTTTAACCCAAAACAGCATGTATTTTTAGCCAAGATGTATCCTGTTTTTGGTATCTCCCGAATGCTTTGGTTAACCCCCATACTGTATTTTGGGGAAATATTTAAAATGTATATGAAACTCCTATCTGATATAGAAATCATTTCTAGAGTGCTTACACTAGTTTGATGTTTACATTGCTCTAACACAGTGCCTCGAATACCTCTGTAACCAAATTTGTCTCCAACCACATAGCTCATTTCCTATTATGTCATAATAGAAGAGGGCCTCACAGAGACACTAATAGAGGGAAAGGTATTCTGGTACCTTCAGCCAAGGGTACAGGATGTTACTGGAATCTGGAGATGATTACCACCATCCTCTTCTCCTAAGCTTCTCCTGGAAAGGGCATTGCTTGAGATTCAACTGTAGGTACAAGATTACCTTCTAATACAAAAAAAGAAAAATCCTTTGAAAGAAGTATCAAAAAATAGCTGAGAAAACACGGTTGTTTTGGTGTGATGGGGATCACAAGTCATAAAATGGTAGAGAAAATGCGAAATGCTAGGAATTGAGCTTGTGGGTCTCTACATAAGTTTCAGAATTCTTGCAACCATTCTAGTGATTTGCTATCGTTTCCATATTATCGGCTATACACTGCAAAAAATTCAAAACCAGCATTTTCTAAAGTAAAGTAAATATTTCATCTGTTGTTCTTAACCAGATGGGCCAGTCCAGTCCATGTATTGGTGGATGTCTTTGTTATGCTTCTAGTGTAAGTTATTCCCTGCCAACCTGTACAGATAAAATAAAATAAACGGGGTAAGAGTTTTAATCAGACCTTTCTGGTCTCCATTGTAATACAGAGAAGTTGACTTTAGAGAAGTACATGACTACATTAAAAATAATTTAAAAACAGCCAAAATATCCTATAAACTGTAAGTTGAATCCATTGGAAATCACCAAGTTTGATGAAGCTCATCCATATACTTCTCAGCTGGAAAGAGAAGCAATATGTGTAATAGTGAATAACTAGGTATAGTAGAACTTGGAAACTGTGTCCATGACACAAAATTATTCCCTGCTCTGTAACTCTGTTTGCTTTTAAAAAGGTTACATATGTTTCCCTCAGTGTGTATTATACTAAAACCCTGAGGGAAAATTCTCATCCATAAAGAATGTTGGGGTTATAATCTCAAATTCAAACTCTAAAGAGATAATATTGATATTTCTGGTTTCCTAAGAGAATTAACTCTTTAAAAGAGAGATCTGAGAGCTGATATTAGGCAAAGGGATGGAAAAATTGTCTTTCACCCTGTACCACCAAGCTTTAAAACAGTAAAAGAAGGCTAGTGCCTATGAATATTTTAAGGGAAAACTTTATTATTTTTAAAGATGCCAAGATGCTTGAAAAAGTTGTCAGAGAATTCACCACAAACTATATTTGCTTCTTGATATTCGACCAATATGATATAAACTTGTTTCCGGGGAGAGTGCTGAGCTCTTAAACATGGAAAGTAGAAATAGAGCATTATCTGAGATGAGTGTTGTCTCAATGCTTTATAAACCTATGAAGATATTTGTCTCAAAAGAGAACTGATCAAAAACATTGTTAGAAATCTAGGGAATGTTATACATTTGCTGCCTTAGAATTCTTGGGTGAAGACCCAACCATGATGACATTGTTGAAGAAGGGCTGTAAAGAGAGATTAGAATTAAATGTTATCTGAATAGTGTTCTTAAACATTGAAGAACACAGAGAAGGCCATACTTTGAGTCTGATTTTTAGGTAGAAAACAAAAGGAGAATTAGTAACAGGAAGAGTTTTTATAACTAGATCCATGGCAAATATTTATCCATCCCTTTATCTATCAAGTAGAAGTTTATGCCCTTAGAACTAAGCTAATAAACACATTTAAACACCAAATGTTTCATTAGTGCCAGGAAAATGTGTGAAACTTTGAAACATTTTGTTTGCTCTATTTGAACTTAATTTTCTCATAAGTTGCATTTTGATTAATTTTTTCCAGGAGTAGAATCACAAAGATGCTTCTCTGCAGGTCTCCTTTTACCAACAGTGTATGGTTGAGATATTTTCTAGCCTCATATATAGATAGAACAAAAAGACAAGCAAAAAATATTAGTAACAGAATGGTGGGAATTATTTAAAAGGCTGTCAGCTTTTGAAGAAAAAAATATACAAAGAAATCATCTTTGAATTGAGTCAATCAAACTTGTTTCATGGCTCCTTTTCTTTCCAACAGGTTGTGGAAATCATGGCTAATATCCCTCAGCTAACTTCAGTCTTTAAGAATCATTAGCAAATTTTGTAGAAGCAGGCATGTCTGTCTTTAATCTAATGGATCCTTTATTTAACCAAAGGCTCTTGTCTTTATATCTGTTGGAACATCAAAATAGTGTCTGTCCCTAGTAAACATTTTCTTATAATTTTATGTTCTCCAGGTTATTTTTTTAAATCCTCTTTGAGAGGAAACGTAATATTGTAGAAAGGAGAGTGGTCAGAAAGAACAATTTGGGGCTCATGAGTATGCCATTAAATATCTTAGTGGCTTCTTCTCATATGGAACTTCTACGCCTTGTGTGCCTCATAGAATTTGTGTCAGTCTCAAAGGAAAATATATCTAAGAAATTGGTTTGTAAATTATGTCCCCTTTCATAAACAGGCACTATAACCATAAGCTAAGAATAATTAAAATTACAGTAATAATTTAAGCCACTTTTGAAAAGAAGGGTCATAGCAGGGACAAAATACCAATTTTAGTGGCGAGTATTGGAAGCTATAAAATGTTAGCAACTTGAAGTCACTGTATTTGATTGGAAATGTTTAATATATCTCAAGTTCTTGAAAAAAATATGAGCTCTATTTCATTTGTTATGTCATCTTGTATTTCTTTCAAGGAGCCTGATTACATTCTAGGTAGTATATTACAACTTGGTCAGATCCTCTTTGTACAAATAGGGCTTTTGTATCCATAGCCTTGTAAAAGGTACAGACTGCATCTGAAATTATCTAAGAGACATAAATTATCCTGCTTAATGTATTAAAAATAGACAGTGTCCTACATAACACTGAAGTGCTTCACTGTATTCCAACAGTCTACCTTTAAGTGATATGATTCTCTTTGTTAGGCTAAGCACTTTTGATTATTTTGTCTGTCATCTACACAGATCACTGTTTTGTCTAGTGCTATGACTGTCAATGAAAACCTTAAACATGGAGTTTTTATTCTATGCGCCCCTGAGTAGACTGTGGTGCCTGACAAACACTGTTAAATCATTATTTTATTATAAGTATCAAAGTTTTAGTGGCTTCAGAAATCATAGCGTCCAATGACTTTGTGGTGTCTGGGTTTGAATACTATGGTGGAGAACTGTATTCAGTGATTGTTTCTGCACATTTTTCAAATAAAAATGCATTTTTATCAGTAATCTTGTGCACACAAAGCAAACTTATTTCTGTGCTGCAGTTGGATATACGTGCAAGAAGAACATTAAATCAGTATCAACATGGGGCTCGTATCACATTTAAAATGGTATCCATTAGGAACTAGGAAATGAGAAGTGATTTGGATTTAGCCAAGTGATTTTTATTCATCTCCTTAAACTTTTTCATTTGTGATTTGTTGAAAGACTGGGCTTTGCAAGGGAAGTTTTCTAATAATTTTGCATTACACATGCATGAAATTAGCAGTTAATGTGTTGAAGTATTCTATGGTCCGTAAGCATCTTGACATTTTATGACCTTTTTCTTCCCCATGATAACATGCTGAGGCAGGGGGTGGTAACTTCCTTAGACCCAGACTGGTGAAAGGATCAATTCAAGACCACAACCAAAGAGCTTCCTTTTAAATGTTCTCTTGCAAAGGCTGCCTTGTTCCCAGAGTTGCTCTCATTCCATATGTTACTTAGATAGTCTTTGCCAAGATAATGATGAGTTTTTAATTTAAAGATAAACAATTCTCCCACTGCAAGCAAAATAAATCCTTGGCACCGTGCTCTCAACTTTACTCCCTGGTAGCAGTAATGCTGTTTCACATAGGCGGAATCTTTTGCCCCTGGGTTCATCTTAATAATTCATGACAAGTCATTAGGAACTTGCTTTCCCTAATGGCTTTATAGGGTTTTTAAATAGTTATAGCATGCTCCATATTGGCAGGTAGGGGAAGACCATATTGACCTTCACTGTCTTTACTGAGGAAAGGAGAAATCTTTTATTTTTTTTAAAATATTTTTATTTATTTCTAGGAGAGAGAGAGAGACAGCGTGAGCAGGGGAGGGTCAGAGAGAGAGGGAGTCACAGACTGAAACAGGCTCCAGGCTCTGAGCTGGCAGTCAGCACAGAGCCCGACGCGGGGCTCGAACCCATGAACCGTGAGATCATGACCTAAGCGAAAGTCGGACTCTTAACCGACTAAACCACCCAAGAGCCCCTGGAGGAGAAATCTTTTAAAACCTGTATGTAAGATATTTGGATTATTAAGTGCTCTTAATATCAAGAACAGTTTTATTTCTAATATGTATTTCAACTTGTGAAGAAAGGATAGCTATAAGAAGAATGTGAGCATTGTTCTTCTGTTAGAAACTCATTTAGGTGACTTACGTTGTGCTTTACAAAGCCAACACACAAATTACGATTTGACTAAGGCTATATTATAGGGGCATCTGGGTGGCTCAGTTGGTTAGATGTCTGACCCTTGGTTTTGGCTTAGGTCATGATCTCACAGTTGATGAGTTTGAGCCCCACATTGGGCTCTGCACTGACAGTGCAGTTGTCAAGTTGGTTTCCATATAACACCCAGTGCTCATCCCCACAAGTGTCCTCCTCCATGCCCATCTGCCCCCTCCTCCCAACACCCATCAGTCCTCAGTTTGTTCTCAGCATTCAAGAGTCTCTCATGGTTTGCCTCCTTCCCTCTCCCCCCAACTATTTTTCCCCTTCTCCTCCCCCATGGTCCTCTGTTAAGTTCCTCCTAATCCACCTATACGTGCAAACATATGGTATTGGTCCTTCTCTGCCTGACTTATTTCACTCAGCATAACACCCTCAAGGTCCATCCATGTTGCTACACATGGCCAGATTTCATTCTTTCTCATTGCCATGGAGTATTCCATGGTATAGATAAACCACATCTTCTTGATCCATTCGTCTGTTGATGGACTCTTAGGCTCTTTCCATGGTTTGGCCTATTGTTGAAAGTGCTGCTATGAACATTGGGGTACATGTGCCCCTATGCATCAGCTCTCCTGTATCCCTTGGGTAAATTCCTAGCAGTGCTATTGCTCGGTCATAGGGGAGTTCTAGTGTTAATTTTTTGAGGAAACTCCACACTGATTTCCAGAGGGGCTGCACCAGTTTACATTCTCACCAACAGTGTAGGAGGGTGCCCGTTTCTCCACATCCTCGCCAGCATCTATAGTCTCCTGATTTGTTCATTTTAGCCACTCTGACCAACATGAGGTGGTATCTCAGTGTGGTTTTGATTTGTGTTTCCCTGATGATGAGTGACGCTGAGCATCATTTCATGTGTCTGTTGGCCATCTGGGAGTCCTCTTTGGAGAAGTGTCTGTTTGGGTCTTCTGCCCATTTCTTACCTGGATTATTTGTTTTTTGGGTGTGGAGTTTGGTGAGTTACTTATATATTTTGGATACTAGCCCTGAAGGCTCTTTTGTAAATGCTGTTTATCAGAATGATAAAACTTCTTGCCTCCCTCCCTCTTAAAAACCTCCCAGATTGCTGAGTTTTTATCATGAATGAGTGCTGAATTTTGTCACATACTTTTTTTCACTTATTAAAATAATTACATAATTTTTCTTCTTTATTATGTGTATGATTTTTTTCATTTTTTTTTTTTTTTTTGAGAGAGAGAGAGAAAGAGAATGAGAATGAGAATGAGCAGGGGAGGGGCAGAGAGAGATAGTGGGACAGAGGATCCAAAGTTGGCTCTGTGCTGACAGTAGCGAGACTGATGTGGGACTTGAACTCACAAATTAAGAGATAATGACCTGAGCCAAAGTCAGAAGCTCCACCAACTGAGCCACCCAGATGTCCCTCATTGATTTATTTTCAAATGATAAATCAACCTTGCATGCTTAGGATAAATGCCAATTTTCTGTAATTCTGCTTCAAGTTTTAAACACTTAATAAGTATACATTTTAATAATAACACAGCAACTAAATATGATTGTCTAAATCTTTAATGCATCTTAATATTTCCCACCCCTCCCCCAAAAAATAGAAGGAAGGAAACAAAAAAGGAGGAAGGGAAGAAGTATAATGATTATGACACTTAGTTGAAGGAATGTTCAGTTCTTAATGGAATGAGTCCCTACATCAATATTGATGAAGATTCTATAATTACTTCAGAGTCAGAGAGGTAAAGAAAGTAGATAAATATGAAAGAATTTGAAAGGTGTGTTCTTAATTTTATAATGCTATTTTTTTCATAATCAGAATGAAAACTTAATCGATTATCTTTTTTCCATTAAATTGGATCCAAGGAAAATTAGTGGAAAATTTCAGGGAGGCATCTAAATACCTGTTCACTAGCAAAACCAATCCATTCATTATGGATTTTATTGTCATGAACAATCAAGTAAAAATGGTTTAATTTACTTATGAATAACTATTTTACTTTATTTTATTTATTTCTTAAAATATTTTTTAGAGAGAGAGAGAGAGAGAGAGAGAGAGAGAGCACAAGCAGGAGAGAAGCAGAGAAGGAGGGAGACACAGAATCCAAAGCAGGCTCCAGGCTCTGAGCTGTCAGCACACAGCCCAATGCAGGGCTCAAACCCAAGAATTATGGGATCATGACCTGAGCTGAAGTTGGACACTTAACCAGCTGAGCCACCCAGGTGCCTCTACTTATACATAATAACTTTAATGTAAAAAGAAATAAAAACAAAAAATACAACAAAATATAATATCAATTTCTTTATTATAAACAATTATTCAAAAGATATATGTATTATACCAATTATTTAAACATTTCTCCATGTTGTTGTTTAAACATTTCCAGATGGTAATTTGTAATGATATATGTGATCAAAGTGAAACTAAGTTTCTTTTCATTTTCTACCTTCATATATTCACTTCAAGGTCCACCTCAGACCTTCTTATTTAATATACTAATTAGTACAAGTGTAATTATTTAGGTTACAACTGAACTGGTGTTTCTTTTCTTGCATTTCTCGTGTGATACTACTTTCAGATTAATACTTTTTATTCTCCATTGTCATTGTTTGTTTTATTGGCTCAGAAATATTTATTCCCAAAACATTCCAAATGATAAAAGCTGAGACAGTAAAGATATAGGAAATAATATATATATGACAAATACATGATACTGCGGATGCTATTAAAAGGATACTTTTGTCTTTGAAAGTCCAGATTTTTTTATGCTGCTGAAACTGCTTAATCTTAGTCTCAGGCAATCCAAAGACCATTCCAAGGTGAACGTGGAGGGCAGATGAGCAGGTCCAATCCATATCACGTCCAGAGGCCCTTCCATGTTCAAAAATGAGCACGGTGAAACCTACATTAAATCCAGCAGTGTCTTCCAATTTTTTTTAGCACACATTATTCTCATGGGAACCATTCTGGTTGTTAGGTCAGTTGGGTGGGTCCATTCCAAAATTTCGTATTCATTACCATCCACCTTGGTGATTGAGGTATAAAAGGAACCTAAGTGATCTCCAGATGAAAGGTGAATTCACGCATTACACGGCAAATGCTTGAAGCAGAATTCATGATCCGAATCTCCCACAAATGTGCCTGAAAATATACTGCCAAAAAGTCTTCTATGTGGCATAAGGTCATGATGATAAATGTAAACTTACAAGACTTTTAGCAGGGAGGTTTTTCTGAACTACGTTCTTAGAAGGGTGGTCCAAATAGGTGAAAGGCCCATCACTGCAGAAAGACATTTACTATATGAGTAAGGTTTGTTTTGAACCATCATTCACAGGATAATGCAGACAGCCAACAAGGAAACTGTCTTATTAAAGTAGCAAAAAGAAAGGCATTTCTGTAGTGTGGGACTATCTCCGACCACCAAGCTAGCAGGTAGAAGGAATATTGATGGCTACATCAAGAGGTCCAAATCCTTGCTCCACAGGTAGCAGCAGGGAAGATCAGTAGACCTCAGAGTATCTACCCCTGTGAGATGGTAATAATAATATGACACACTTTTGAGGCCTTTTGGGAAGATTGAAGCAATTAATACAGGTAAAGTACTTAGAATTGTTCCCGGCATAAGAACTGCGTCATAAATGTTATTAAATAATTACGTTTGAAAACTAGCAACCAATAAAAACTTGACGCATGAAATGCATACATATAGTTATGCAACATTTCAAGGATTACAGTACCTTGATGAATTTATAAATACATTCCTTTATCTCATTTGTATTTTTAAATATTTCATAGATAATACTGATATTTCACACTCCACATTGAAAGGCTTGAAGCATCTTTCCTGGGAAAATGTTTACAGTCCTACACCAGAGAGGATGATCAAAAGGCTTACAAGTAATTCCTGCTTCAGCAAGGCTAAGTCTGCCCATTATTCCTTTAGTTCAAGTGCCTTCTCTCCTGTTAGCCTGTTTGCATTTCTACAAATTAGAGTCTGGTTTTCCTCATAGCAAGCACAAACTCACCTGTGATGAATGCTTCTATCAAAATGTAAGCACACTTTCACCAAGGCACTAGACATACAATTCCAATTCATGAATTAAGAGTCTTCCTAGCTATAGACAGTAGCCACTGTACCTCTGAACCCATAATACATACATTTTTGTGAAGGTATGAGTTGACAGCATTGTGTTTCTATTCTTCCCCCCAAATATTTTCTTAGATAATACAATGAATCTTGAAAGGAAAATTAGGCACAAAGCCAGAGTCACACTGCATTTCTTCATGCTTACTTGTGGGTTATCTCCAGCAACCAATTCTCGATGCCAGCTGAAGAACAATGGCTTCCAAAGGTGCAGTAAGACACGGTGATTGTTAGCATTGGAGGGCTGTGTGGGTTGGGGAATCAGCTAAAAAGAGCCTATAATGGCTTCTCCTGCCCATAATGCCATTGAAATTAACTCTCCCACTAGCAATGGGTCAGGAGATGAATTTATAAATTCATGTTGATTTTTATTATTCAAAGTTAACTTTAAAATATATCATTTATTCGTGAACACACACATACATGCTTCCATCTATATACATAAACACCACTATCAGAAGATCATAGTTGACAACCTTAAACCACTCCCTTCAGCAAAGTTATGCAAAATGATTTAGATTCTTTAAGTTTAAAGCAAAATTCATCTTCCATCAAAAGCCCCACATCTCTCCACCCATTCAGTAAGTTTTGAAGGACAAGTTCCTTGCCTTGAATATTTATTTGTTTGATTTTCTGCTGAGTCCTTCCTGCAGAGCTGTTGATGTATAGTAAATCCCACTGAATACTGCCATTGAGCCATTTTAACTTGCACGTTTAGGCTGTGTTTCAAGGAATAAATAAAATCCACATAGTGATCTTTCTCATTGAGATCTTCAGTTAGCCAGATCATTTCCGGAACCTCATCAACATCAGATAGGGTGTAGTGCCTTCAGTCTTCAATTCACTGTAGAAAAGATCAAATAATTATTCAAAGAGAGCACATTAAACTTTAGTGATACAATTGCTGTATCACCACCATTACCATCTCCACCACCGCTATACTACCAAGTCTGAACTAATTGGTTTAATCTAAGAGATCTGGGGGCGCCTGGGTGGCTCAGTCGGCTAAACGTCTGGCTTCGGCTCAGGTCATGACCCCACAGTTCGTGGGTTTGAGCCCCACTTCAAGCTCTGTGCTGACAGCTAGCTCAGAGGCTGGAGCCTGCTCCAGATTCTGTGTCTCCCTCTCTCTCTGACCCTCTCTTGTTCACGCTGTCTCTCTCTCTCTCTCAGAAATTAAACAAAAACAAAAACAAACAAAAAAACCCATAATCTAAGAGATCTGGTGGTTAATTGGCTGACTCTGACTAATTCCCCACAAGACATAATAGAATCACACTGTGGAAGCATCAATCTTATGTAAATTCAGCTAGTTGTAGTGGGACAAAAGTGAGGAAAAGTGAGGGGAAGTGAGAGAGAATTAGAGACTGTATCTGCCATTCCATGCAGTGAAGATATGCACTGGAGTGCGTTGGAGACGGGAAGCACAAATCAACCCTCCTGCCAGGATGTTTTAGTCCTGTGGGCTTCTCAAGTCCCAACCTCTCCCCTCACTGTGTGATTCTAGTATTTAAAATATATATGTACGTATATATGTATATATACACACACCCACATACAAACACACACACACACACATTTATATGTGAATTTTGTTGTTGCTGTTTTTGTCTAAGAACATGACCCTGAATCTCCAGCAAACACTTCTGGTGTTCAATTCAAGGGAACATCTATAATGTTCTAATGCTCAAAGACACCACCTTACTTTTTAGTATTTACTGAGAGACATAGAACTAGATTTTATGGGTAATTAAAGATATTTGCCTGGATTCATTTTTTATTTTTTATTTTTTTAAAAAAATTTTTTTTAATGTTTTATTTATTTCTAGGAGAGAGAGAGAGACAGCGTGAGCAGGGGAGGGTCAGAGAGAGAGGGAGTCACAGACTGAAACAGGCTCCAGGCTCTGAGCTGGCAGTCAGCACAGAGCCCGATGCGGGGCTCGAACCCACGAACCGCGAGATCATGACCCAAGCGAAAGTCGGACGCTTAACCGACGAAGCCACCCAGGCGCCCCCATTTTTTAAATGTACATGATTTTTCCCCTTAACATCTGCTTTTCTACTCCAATCTCTCCCTTGAGTTATAATTCCACTGCATATGGGTGAACCCAGAATTACCACATCATACTACCACTTAACGTTCTCAAAGCAGCCAATTGGCCTTATTTTATTTTGCAAACAAGAGACCTACCAAGTCATAGAAAGAAAATAAATCTTTAAAACTAAAAGACACTTAACAATTAACTTGTTACAACTAAAGAATTGGCCACAGAAGTCATTCTTTCCAGCTCATTCCCTCTGTATGGGATAGTGTCTGCATTCAATACTGGAGTGGTTACAATAGAGAGACAAGCAGTTGATCTCTCCCTTCCTCCGCTCTGGCCACATTCCCTACAAGGTCAAAACAGCGGAGGCTGGCCAGATGCCCCACAGCCCCAAGGGGACTGGTATCTGGTAAGGGAACAAAAAATCAATTGTCTTCCTTTTCCTTAGAAAGTCATGCTTGCTCTTGTATTCTGGGCTCTTCACTTCTTCCCCCACTGAAGTGACTACTTCTCTCACTGCTTCTGAAAGGTGGGTATTTCACTTCCTCCCTTAATATTTCTGTGGCTTAATTTCCCTTCTTTATTGGAAGTTTCAGGGCTACTGGCCAAAAAGTGGATAACTTCGCCTCAGGGGTCCCGACAATTTTAGAAGAATCTATTCGGAATGGCTTCATCTCATCTCTAATTACATCTATCATTAGCAAAGTAAGCAAGGCTTCAGGGAATTCTGCCCAGGGAGATAGAGCCACCTGAATTCTTGGACCGATACTTATCTCAGCAGCCGAGTTTCTACCTCAGGCACTGAACAGAAGAGAATTTCAGAAAACAGGCTTCTGCCCTAGAGGGATTAGACTGGGAAATTCAAAAGCAGCTCGAACAGGAAGTTTTTAATCACTTTTTAAATGATTCATGTAATTACAGAGTATGTTTTCTTTTAAGTGATAATTTCATAGAGTATTATGGAAATAAGATTTGAGCCCAGAAGTCTCTTTTTTTTTCTTTTTTACAACTTGTCACTTCAGATTCTGTCACCATTAGAAAGTGACTTTGATGGTTTCAACTATCATTTTGATTGCTGTAGTGGGCCATTATCGTTGCTTGATTCAGTCATTATTGGGTAGTTATTGAAGACACTTCCCTTAGCAATGCAGGAAACAAAGTGAATTATAAGGAACCATTCCTGCCTTCTTGACATTTACAGTCTACCTGGCTTGAGATACAGACGTGGATACTTAAATAAATCCAAACAATTCATAATCAAAATGTTCATCAATGCTACAGAAAACAGGGGTAACAGAAAAACAAGGACAACAGGGAAGATGGTGTGTGCTGCTTGGAGAAAGAGTTGAAGCAGACACCATGCTTGCTTGCACAAAGCAAGAAAAGATGTCTAAATTCATTCATTCATTTATTCAGTAAGTATTTATGTTTTAGGCTTTGAGCATTCAATGATGAACAGGTAACACAGGTCTAGCTCTCAAGAACTGGGAAACAGACAGTAAGCTGATCACATAAGTATTAATAGATTGGACTATTTCTCAAGTAGGAAAGATACAACATTCATGAATGAATGTTCAGCAGAAGCTGTGAAAGCAGATGGCGGTGGGGGAAGAAAAACCTTACCTGGTAGAGACACCCTTGGATACTGTTGTCCTAGGAGTTTCCGACCAAAGTGCCACCTTGGTTTTTAGTTCTTTATTCTACAGTTGAAAAAAAATGTGTAGAGATTACATATTTAAGTATGTTTATTAGCCACATGCTTAATGTTTCTGATCAACACACCACCTACATCACTCCGTGGCAGTAAGCTTGTTCTTTCAGTCGCTCTATTAAAACACAGAATGTAGCCGGGTTGAGAGTCACTATCAATCTGAAATTACAAACACATCTTGAAGAGTGTTTGTGTCCTTTTCCAAGGGATTCAAATAAGAGAATTCTACATTAGTCTCTGAAATTCAACAGCTGAACTATGGTTTGATTTTACAGTTTCTTTTATGTAGAGAGATGCAAAGAACTTCATAACATAACATTATTAAAGAACCTTGTTAAAGACACCCACGGTATTTATTACATGTTTGTCTTTCTTGTGCAATCTCTTGATTATAAACTCCGTGAAAATAAGCACCATCTGTTCTTCACTATAGAGTTCATGACATTTTTAGCCTTAATTTTCTCACTGAAGCCTGTTTCTTGATCTCTACACTAGCAGTAAATAATACATATCTTGCCTACTATGTTTAAGTTGTTGGAAGAAAAATCTCTTATGATCTTTCTAGGAGAGAGAGAGAGAGAGACAGCGTGAGCAGGGGAGAGTCAGAGAGAGAGGGAGATACAGACTCCGAAATTGGCTCCAGGCTCTGAGCTGGCAGTCAGCACAGAGCCCGACGCGGGGCTCGAACCCACGAACCGCGAGATCATGACCTGAGCGAAAGTCGGACGCTTAACCGACTAAGCCACCCAGGCGCCCCTGATCATAATACTTTAAATCTGGAAGCACTCTCATAATTCTGGGAGATAATGCTGTGGTTGATAATAAGGAAGGCAACAGTTTAATTTCTCAGGTACAAATCCTAGCACAGCCACTTGGTAGCTTTGTGACCTCACTTAGTTTATATGACCTCTCTGACCCCAATGTCCTCATCCGTATAATAGGATCATTGTTTTTCTTCGCAGGTTCTGAAATGAGATATCAATATGTACTGTGCCCAGTGTCTGGCACAGATTTTTAAGACATAAGATTTTCTAGTCCAAGTACCATTTTTATAACTAAAAACTGAGGTCCAAAGAGCTTAAGTGCCCAACATCTTGTTCATGGCAGAACTAGGGTTCAAAATCAGGTCCTTCTGAGCCAGTGTCTCCTCTACAGCATAGTCACACCAGGCACATTCATTTAGTAGACCTGGACAATGAGCTCTAAAATAGCAAAGCGTCATGCTCATGGCTGAGTTGTCAGTTGGCTGCACTGGCAAGTCAAAGGTATGTAAAGGATACACCAGTATAGTAGGGTCTGGAACTGAAGAGTGGCTTGATGGGAGACTTAAAGGGGGAGCTGTGGCTTTAAAAGAACAGTAATACACCTGCTCCAATACCTATTAGGAAAGTAAGGAGTTAAAGTGTCATATAATTGAAGTTTAAAAGGTATCTCCTAAAAGCCCACCAGATGGTTTGGAGTAAGCCAACACCAAAATGCATGATTTTGGGAAACAGATGGTAGAATTTTGATGGAAGCAAGAGGGTTAATAATTAGGCATGCCTAGCAAATGTCAAGACTTTTGCCAAGTGCTTTCCATACATCTATTCCTTGATAACTTTTAGTCTTTTGCATATTAAAGAAATAAGGCTGACAAAACTCAGATTGTTTAGGTAACTTGTTTCTGATAACCCACACATTGTATATGCAGCATTGTGTACAAGTGTGCAAGCTTTACGCAATCCTGTCTGACTCCAAATCCTATGCCCTTCTTCCTGAAAGGCATTATTTTTCTGAAACCAGAATTGCTTAGCCTCCTTATATTACAGATAAGTAAGTGGTGAGCCCCAGGCACAGAGGCACAGAGATTCAATGATTTCTGAGGGGATTTCAGGTCTGATAAACATGAAACAGAAGATTAAATAAAAACTGTAAATTAATCAGCAATTAACCTACTGCATCCATCCATCCATCCATCCATCCATCCATCCATCCATCCAGTTAATCAGTTTCTGCCATGTCTATGGCACCAACCCACAGGCAGAGGGAATGTGAAATCACACAAGAAAGCATGGATCTCTCTTTCCAGTACACAGGATACACAGTACAATGGAAGTGAGAAAACAAACACGTAACCATTAAAAAAATACAAAATAAAAGAAGTTCAGGAGATGCCAGAAACAGTAAGTAATTAATTACTACATAAAAGGAATAACAGAGATCAATGACCAGAATGATTTATGATATTTTCATACACAAGAAGATTTTACCTGGACCTTGAAGACAAAGTGAAATGGCCTAGGTGGAAAAGAAGGAGAAAAAGACTAAGGCAACAGTTATTAAAGTATGATCTTGGGATATCAGCAATATCAGCGTTACCGAGAACTTACTAGAACTTCAGATCTTCTGTCTCCAATAAGACCTACTGAGAAACCCAGGGTCTCCAAGGGATGAGTTTTAAGAAGCTCACCAGACGATTCTGACATCTGCTCAAGTTTGAGAACCACTGGACTAAAGTTCTGATTTTCAGTGTTAGTTGTATAATTGGAATTTCCGGAGAGATTTAAAATCTAATGAATCTAGAGCCCCATCCCGGAGATTCCGTTTAACTTAGTTGTAGTCCGGGTTCAAGAGTTTTCAGGACTCCACAGGTAATTCTAATGTGTTGCTAAGATGAAGAAAATAAGAGGGGCACCTGGGTGGCTTAGTCGGTTAAGCGACCGACTTTCGCTTAGGTCATGATCTCACGGTTCGTGGGTTCGAGCCCCGCGTCGGGCTCTGTGCTGACTGCCAGCTCAGAGCCTGGAGCCTGTTTCAGAGTCTGTGACTCCCTCTCTCTCTGACCCTCCCCTGCNGTTTCAGAGTCTGTGACTCCCTCTCTCTCTGACCCTCCCCTGCTCATGCTGTCTCTCTCTCTCCTAGAAATAAATAAAACATTTAAAAAAAAAAAGAAAAGAAAAGAAGACAAAAACATAGAGGGAGGCAAACCATAAGAGACTCTTAAATACAGAGACAAACTGAGGGTTGCTTGAGGGGTCGGGGTTGGGGATGGGCTAAACGGGTGATGGGAATTAAGGAGGGCACTTTTTGGGATGAGCATTGGGTGTTACATGTAAGTGATGAATCACTAAATCCTACTCCTGAAATCCTTATTACGCTATATGTTAACTAACTTGGATTTAAATAAAATTTTAGAATTTTTTTAAAAAAGATGAAAAACGATTGAAGTAAAGAAAGCTGAGACAAGATGTGGATTTTTGCCCCTTCATATCAGCATCTCTACTGCATATAACTAAAAAATGGAACAAAAATCTTCACACATAATTGATCATTTCACTGTGATGTTTCAAGAGTTAAGCATTTCACTAGTCTCACGTAGGAAATGTACTTCAGATCTGATAAATTGATAATAAAGATGCTCCTTGTATAATGGAGATAAAGCTAATATACACTCCAAACAAGTGTAAGCACATCATTGACCAAGTATGTTGTTGAGAAAAACTCCTCTGTATATAATACTCTGCAAGTTAGGAAGCGATTTGAATCACATCATGATGACAACAAATACTAGAATAAAAATAATCCAGGCTGGACAATTATGTAGAGGCTATTTTTTCCTAAACAAAATCCCCTATAGGGATTTTTTCCTAAACAAATTCCTAGTTTCTCAAGTTGCTGAGTACCAAACAGTACAAAAGCATTAAGAGTTATCATGTTAGACTGTCTTTATTTTCATTTATCTCAACTTCCATGCTGATTTATTTCATTGACTAGATTTAGGTACTTATTTTTGATTCATGGGCTTTCATAGTTTTCCCTTTAATTAGAACAGCCATATCCGTGAGTTTTATTACAGCGTTACTTTACAAAACTACAAATCACTGACCAGAACATGTCTGCTTTTTTTATGACTTTATCCAAGGATAGTTTATTGACATGATTTTCTATTGCATACTGTCTATCAACACATTCTTGTTAAATTAAATGTTAGGGATTGTGATGGTTATATAAAATGGGATAATCTTCAATGTTTAGAAAATGGTATAATTTCTGAAGACACATTTCCCTATGAGCAGGTCATTAGTGAGGAAGCTAAAAATGCATGAAATGTGAGAGAAATGCCAGAGCTGAAAATTAAGATAATAAAGATATTATTCAAAAGTAGAAAGAAAAGTAGAAATTTTCCAGTGAGGTTTTAAAAATATTTAAGCTTTAAAAAGTTTTTAATATGCATTTATTTATTTTGAGAGAGAGAGAGAAAGCACAAACAGGGAGGAGCAGAGAAAGAGGGAGAGAGAGAATCCTATGCAGGCTCTGCCTTTTAAGCCCAGAGCCCAAAGAGGGACACAATCCCAAGAATCTTGAGATCATGACCTGAGCCAAAACCAAGAGTCTGATGCTTAGCCAACTGACCCACCCAGACACCTCCAAAGATTTTTTTAAAGAATAAAATTATATGAGTGTATATATCTCCCCTGCATAGATGGGGAAAATACTCTGCTAGGGTAGAAAGAATGTCACAGAAAAAAAATATTTGAGACCATGACTCAAAAAACTGGAAAATAGAAGTCATTTTAATATAGGAAATATATATAATATATATATTATATATATAATATAGGCCATGACTAAAATGAATATAAATGATCTGGCAAATTTAATCACTTCATTCCTAAATACATATTGTATGTATACACGTGTATTTCATACATGTATATAAGCACATGCACATACACACTTACCTCCCGAACACACACTTCTTTAATCACTCAGATAAATGGATTCTGTGGTGGCGATGGGGGAAGGGGAGCACATGCTCCCAAGGCAAGGAGACTCCAGTGCAGCGAAGTGATGTTGAACAAGCTTCCTAACTTCTCTGAATCTCAGTTTAATCACTTATGAAATGTAATAATAGCTTTCTCCCAGAGTAGTTTTGAGGATTAAATAAAATGAAGCATGTAAGCATGCCTAAAAAGAGGTGAATGCTTTTGGTACGGATGAGAAAACTTTGCTATCTGTGTGGTTTAGAAAGCTGGTGTGTTGGGGCACCTGGGTGGCTCAGTTGGTCGAGATTCCGACTTCAGCTTAGGTCATAATTTCATGGTTCATGGGTTTAAGCCTCACGTCGGGCTCTGTGCTGACAGCTGGGAGCCTGGAGCCTGCTTCAGATTCTGTGTCTCCCTCTCTTTCTGCCCTCCCCTGCTCGCACTCTGTCTCTCTCTCAAAAATAAATAAATATTTAAAAAAAGAAAAAAGACAGGTGGTGTGTTTACACAGGTTGTTCAAGCTCGGGTGGCTATTTTTCATAAATGGAATCAATTCATCCTGTTACTTAATGGATTCTAAAATAGGCAGTGGTCTTAAATTTGCAGTGCAAGACAGCAAACCTCTGCATATATCATCCCAGTTAAGAACTTCGTACTAAAGCACTGACTAGGACCAGACCAGAGATAGGCTAACCATTGTTCAAGCACTCACTAAGTTCAAGTACCTGGTCAAATATCATAGGTTCAGAGATGCTCTTCCTCGTTCCCATCACTCTCTAACTATCATATTGTCATATTCTTCACTTTTCAGAGCACTTATTCCTCTCTAATTGTTTATTTACTTGTTTATGTCTTTCTTATCTTTATTTTCAATTGAAGTATAAGCTAGATAAGGTCAGGGGCAGTCTGTTCTGTGCATTACCCATATACCTACCACTTGAAATATTTCCTGGCACATGAGAAAACATGTACACATAACTATTTGATCGATAAATTAAATTAATGTGGCTTTGACTCTACTTTTTAAAATTTTGTGTCTTTATTTTATTTTGAGAGAGATAGAGAGTAAGCAGGGGAGGGGCAGAGAGAGAGAGAGAGAGAGAGAGAGAATCTGAAGCAGGCTCCAGGCTCTGAGCTGTCAGTACAGAGCCCAACACGGGGCTTGAACCCACAGACTGTGAGATCATGACCTGAGCTGAAGTCAGATGCTTAACCGACTGAGCCACCAAAGTGCCCCTGGCTTTGACTTTATAAAGCTGAAATGGTCGCTGTAAAATTCCTTGCTGTGAAGGAAAAGATTTATCGACTGAAGATAATACATTTTGAGAATATAAAGACATTCATCAGATAGTGCTATAATTTGAAGACTTTCTGTAAAAGAAAACATTAATATACAGCACCTAGAGGGGCACCTGTGTGTCTCAGTCAGTTAAGCATCCAACTTCGGCTTAAGCGTTGGCTCAGGTCATTATCTCATCATTTGTGAGTTTGAGCCCTGCATCAGGCTTTGTGCTGACAGCTCAGAGCCTGGAGCCTGCTTTGGATTCTGTGTCTCCCTCTCTCTCTGACCCTCCCTCGCTAGCACCCTTTCTCTCTCTCAAAAATAAATAAACATAAAAAATTTTTTAAAAAATATATAGCACCTGAATCAAGCTATATACAGAGAATCTGAGACAGTATTGAGAGGTGCTTTCACATTAGTACAGAGTCTGTAGCCAACCAAGAAGTTTCCATGAACAAATCTGGGGAACAAATCTGTTGCTTTCTCATATCATACCAAGTGGCTAATCTGCAATTATTTGCTGAATTTGTGAGAATATAAGAACAGAGTACACTGGAAACAAATACATTGTTCTGGTCTAACTATTAGACAAAGGTTAATTGGATAATGTATCTGAATAATCTGAGTTAAGTTGCCAGTTTATTTAGGACAATAAAATTTGCTTTGGGGATGGTATAAATAAACAGACACAACTAAAGAACACAGAACTGAATTAAAAGCAGTAGTACGATTGATATCTTGATCCTGTGATGACAGCTGGCACTTAATTATGTCTGACCAGAACCTAGAACCACAATGAAGTGAAAGCCCAGAGACAGATAACAATCTCTCCAATGAAAATGTGTTACCGATGTGCGTGCACTGAGTAAAGCAGGACAGCACTGGAGCCCAAACAGGCAGATCCACCATTGGAACAGATTTCCAACCTAAAAGTTCAGTCTAGCATAAAAGGCATTTCAAATGCATGAAGAAAGCCCAGACTTCTAAATAATGTGAGACAACTAAAAAGTTAGATCCCTACCTCACACTGAACTTCCTGAATTACATGTAAACGTGGGTTTAAATCAGATTCCCAGTCCAAAATGGGAATCTGAGAACATGTTTATCATCTCTCCCTTCTTAGTTTTTAATTAAAATGATAACAAATGATTTCTATTTATTGAAATCCCTTAGTGATGAAGAGGGGGAAAAAAGACTATCAGCAGATCAAAAATATGAGGACTGAAGGACTGAAAGTGAGTTACGAAGTTACTGCTAGAGCAGAGGCAGCTGCAGGTGGGCCTGTGGTCACTGAGGCAGATGACTGAGCCTACAGAACCCTGTAAGTCAGAGAACACATTATCAAAGACTTAAAAATGTATATACTTTGAGTTACCAATTTCACTTCTAAAAATTTATCTTAAGGAAGTATGTAAATCATTAGTGATCTTTGTATAAAGATGTTGAATTCAGGGGCGCCTGGGTGGCTCAGTCAGTTAAGCATCCCTCGGCTCAGGTTATGATGTCACAGTTCGTGAGTTTGAGCCCCGCATTAGGCTCTGTGCTGACAGCTAGGAGCCGGGAGCCTGCTTCCGATTCTGTGTCTCCCTTTCTCACTTCCCTTCCCTGCTCATGTTCTGTCTCTTTCTCTCAAAAATAAATAAGCACTTAAAAAATTAAAAACAGGGCTGCCTGGGTGACTCAGTTGGTTAAGCATCCGACTTTGGCTCAGGTCATGATCTCAAGGTTTGTGACTTCAACACCAGCATCGGGCTCTGTGCTGACAGCTCATAGCCTGAAGCCTGCTTCAGATTCTGTGTCTCCCTCTGTTTCTGCCCCTCCCCCATTTGTGCTCTATCTCTCTCTGTCTCTCAAAAATAAACAAATGTAAAAAAAAATTCTCTAAATAATAATAAATTAAAAACAAATAAAAACCCAAAAGCAATACTAAAAACAACCTAATATCCAACAATAAGGACCGAGTTAATTAAATTAGTATAGGTCAATACATAGGCTATGTAAAGATAATATAAATGAAGTCTGACTGATAAGCAAAGACTTCTCATTATATTGCTATATAGAGAAAAAGACTCCTTGGCATGGTCTAAAGACCTTTATGGTCCCACCCCTTCCTACCTTTCCAATGTCATCCCATGCTATTCCATACACCTCTTAGATTAGAAGCTCTCACAATGGCTCCCTATCCTTCTGTCTGACATGCTCTACCACCCAGTTTTCCACTAAGCTTGGATTAAAACTCATTTTCATAGAGAGCTTGGCCCCACCCACCAACCTAAATCCTCTATCCAGGTGTTCTCTCTCAGATTATCTTGTTCTTTTCTGGCAGAATGCTTCCATAATATTGCAAGTTACATGTTCATTTATGTGTCTGTTTCCCTCTCTAGACAGTAAATTCCAGAGTGCAGGGTTCACTCATCTATTTTATTCAATATTATTTTCCCTACCTTAGTGTCTACATCAGTGTAGCCACCCAATAGGTTCTTGTAGAATTAACTACAAGACTGATGATGTGAACAAATGAAAGAAATGAACAAAAGTTTAAAAATAGAATGAAATAGGGGAACCTGGGTGGCTGAGTTGGTTAAGTGTATGACTTTAGCTCAGGTCATGATCTCACAGTTCCTGATTTTGAGCCCTGCATCAGGTTCTCTGCTGTCAACACAGAGTCTGCTTCAGATCCTCTGTCCCCCTCTCTCTCCCCTCTTCCCTGTCTAGCTCTCTCTTTCTCAAAAATCAGTGAACGTTAGGGGCACCTGGGTGGCTCAGTCGGTTAAGCGTCCGACTTCAGCTCAGGTTATGATCTCATGGTTCGTGGGTTCGAGCCCCATGTTGGGCTCTGTGCTGACAGCTAGCTCAGAGCCTGGAGCCTGTCTTCAGATTCTGTATGTCCCTTTCTCTCTGACCCTCCCCTGATCAAGTTCTCTCTCTCTCTCTCTCTCTAAGAATAAATAAAACATTAAAAATTAAAAAAAAAAAAGAAAAGAAAATTACACCAGGCATTTTGAAGTGGGTGAGCCATCACACAAAGGCAGAAGATGTGATGGATGTGAAAGATAAAAGAAGAGGAAAGAGAGGGCGCCTGGGCGGCTCAGTCGGTTAAACGTCTGACTTTGGCTCAGGTCATGATCTTGTGGTTTGTGAGTTTGAGCCTCATGTTGGGCTCTGTGCTGACAGCCTGGACCCTGCTTTGGATTCTTTCTCCCTCTCTCTGCTCCTCGCCCACTCATACTCTGTCCTCTCTCAAAAGTAAGTAAACGTTAAAAACATTTGAAAAAAACAGAGTGAAGAAAAGAGGACATCTCAAGGCAGGAAAGAAACAAAGATAGAGGAGAGCAAACCCAGCTATCTGGCTGGGGCTGAATTCCCGCAAAGTGGTCTTGACCAGGCTTCTGATTCAAGTTCACATGTTATTTTCTATCTCCTCAGTATAGTAAGCATTCTGGAAAATTTGGGTGAACTTTTCACATTTAATAGTATTTAATATTATAAAATAGTGCTTAATACTTTAATAATTATTAAGAGTACTTCTCCCACAAATCTATAATTTCTTATGCACAGAAGACACACATATTCACACACTCACAAAAAGACGCTCATGCATACACACAGACACATGTACACTCACACGTAGATACTCAGGCACAATCAACACACAGATACGCTCACACACCTGTGCACATACAGGCTCATTGTGGCACAGTGGCACATGCAAGCACACATGACACATTCACACACAGGCTCACAGATATACTGAACACACAGCCACACACACACACACACACACACACAATCACGGTCACACTGAAATATATAACCCATTCCCTCCTTACCTGGGCTTCAAGTATATTAACTTTTTCTTTCAGATTTTCAATTCTTTTATCTTGTTCTTTCAAATTATTTTTTAATCCTTCCATCTAAGAATTAGGAAACACAATTGGAAAAATCTGGTCAGACAACAGGGAAGTTACTTAAGTCAGAAGTTTCACAGGTTTCTAGGGTCAACTGACATCCATCAAATAATAAAATTAAATCCCAAAGCATTAGCGGGCTCAGCATGTTGCAGAAAAAAAGCAGGGGGCGTTGGTGCCTGGGGGTGAGAGCACATGGGCAGTCCTATTAAACACTGGAATCTCTGGAAAACCTGTTTAAACCGAATCCAGCGGGCACACATCCTGTGGGAGGCGGTTTTGGCCATCGCTCTGTCTCCACCATACAAAGTTTTCATACAGCAGGTACAGAGGCAGGTGGCCATCACACAAGGCCACTGCCTGGCATGGGGAAGCTTCCTGAGGCAGAGATCTGGTCAACCTGATCATGAGCTGAGCGTGGAACTGGGGAGCTGGGGTGTGAAGACCAGAGCAGAGCGGGAAGAGAAGAAACCCATGGATTCTAAGGCCAATTCTGCCACCATCAGTTCTGTCATTGGACGACTGTGAGCCCCAGTTTTCTCATCTATAAAATGAGAATGTGGGATAGCCTCTAGGTCCATCCTGGCTCTCAAGTACCATGACTCAATTTTCTGGCCTTCTGATGAGGTGCTAGCCAAATGTTATATTTGTGTCATGGAGGTATTAGAGGTATTTGGAAGGATTCTTCTTGGAAACAAATAGTAGATAGTAAAAAATGATGGAAGGTCTGATTTTAAGTCTAAAGCAGAGCCCTCAACCCAGATCAATAGATATCTTGAAATAAATTGTATGAGAACACAATCCACTGTCCATCCGGCTGCCACCACAATGACCTCTTCTCCTTCACCTGCCAGGATGTTTTCAGAGAATGGCCAGGCTATACCCCAGGCCCCACACACCTACTAAGTAAATTTGCTGTTTATGAGGTTATAAAAACAGATCATCGCTCCCTCAAAAAGGGCTGAATCTTCTAATCTCCAAAATCTTTTCAAGAACGGTGTACATTATCTGGCTTGGAACCCCTTTTAAAAAAACATCATGGAAACAACTAAACAGCCGTTAAACACAATTTCCCAAAAATCTTCATTGAGAACGCTACAGGTGTTGGCATACAGACAAAAGAAGGCATTAAACACAGAGTCAGACGGCCTGGGAATAAAAAGGAAGTGTCACCAGGGAGAAGAATCTCACTGCTTGGAAGGTCCAGACAAGCTGCCTGCGTTCGGTCTTCTCACTGTAAACATCCCGTCTACCAGAGAAACATGCTTGATTAATCTGACCTCCTGGATGACACTGCGCAGGGTCTGATGTTGGGAATGAATCACAAACTGCAGATGAGAGAGCTGCTCTTGGAGAAGGGCAATCTCCATTTGAAGATCGTGGCAACTGGAAACGCAAAAGGAGAAAGAAAGAGTTGCTGAAGCCTGGCGCAGCTGATTTTTATAGCTCTGCTGCCAGGCTCTCCTCACACACGACCCTGTTACTGGGCATCGCGTGGGAAGGATGCTGGGGGTCCCATATGCCACACAACACACTGAAGATAAACAGGCACAAAGCAGCCTTGGATGAGCCCAGACACGAACGTGAATGAGAATATCCATTCATGTCAAAAACTCCCTCCTGGCCATCTGTGACTTCCCTCCCTCCAGGAGCTAGTTGAGTCAAACTGTACTGAGCCAGATGAAGCACTCACATGTCTAAACTGCTGTGCCTATGAGCAACCACAGACCTAGAACTCAGCAGGATGCGCAGATAATTATATAAGGATAGCAGGGCTAAAACATGGGGGGTCAGGAATGCAGATTTTATACATAATGAGAAACCAATTTCCAACGATACACAGTTAGTTATGTTGTGGATTGGCTGTGTTTGTCTTTTATCATCATCATCGTCATCATCATCATTATCATGATCGTTATTACTATTAGTTATTCTGGCTTCCTACTTCGGGTATTCTACTACCTATAAATAGAGCATTAAAAAAGGAAATTCAAATTCCAGCTAATATTTTTGAGTCCACATCAACCAGTGTGAGAAAAAGATGGATGAAGTTTTCATTAGATTATTCACACTTTTATGAAGCTCCATGTAGGTAACTGGAATTGATTACACAGCTTTTGACTTGCCAATATTTTCTTCTATTACCTTATAAGAATATACTATGGACTTCAAGAGGTAAGTGAATATGCTTTAGGAAAATAAGCTTTTTATACAGTAATATATTAATTTTTTTGTAGCTATTAAGGTTTTATAATGAGTAGCTACCATCCAATGAAATTGCAATTCTGATTTTTATGGCCTCTACGAATATTACAAAGGTCATGGACATTCATGTGACACTATAGAACATGTTCTCATTTGAAAAAAAAAGACTGTCTCATTTTATTTCACATCATGTACTAAAACATTGCACCTCAAACTTAATATGTATTGGAGGGTCTTGTTAAATCATGAGGGATCTTGTTCAAATGCACATCTGACCCAGCAGGCTGGGGCAGGGCTTGGGATTCTGCTTTTCCAATAGGCTCCAGGGTGTTGCCCGTGCTTTGTGCAGCCTCGGCCTGGACCACTGAGGGTGGCTCAATAACTTCTACTGTATAATATACTTTCTCAAAGCCAAATAGCTCGCAGGCAACTCGCAACATTTAAGACAATCTTTTGATTGTTTTCCTCTTTTGGTTTTGCGTGAGAGAGCTTTTAAAACAGTTTGTTTAACTGTAGAAAAAATTAATTTCTACAAAACTACAGAAATTCTTGCACAAGTACAGATATTATATAACATTAGCCATTACTCTTTACTTATCCTATGGAGTTAAATGAGCTATGCTTTAAAAATACCGTGCAGTTACACAAAATATACATAAAATGTAGTTCATTGATGTTCATAGCGTAAAAATTGGAACACTAAATGTTAATCATTAAAAGAATAATAAAACAAATTATGCTATATACACCTTTTATTTTACATATACATATATGTTATGGACATAGGCCAGTGGACTTGATTTATATCAAAGATGATTCAGCAGCATTTTATGAAATAGATGGTCTTTTCAACAAATGGTTCAGAGACAACTCTATATTCATATTAAAAAAACAGAAAAAGAAAATTAATCTTGACCTCACTTCATGAGAAAAATAAATTCCATGTATATGGTAAATAAATCTGGAGACCCAAAAGACTTTCAGAATATAGTATAGAAGAACATCTTCATGAATTTGCAATAGGCAAAGATTTTTTTAAAATAGCACTCAAAACAGTATTAACCACAAAGTTAATTTTGGCTAGATGAAAATGAAAGTCTTCTAATCATCAAACGAGAGGGTACAGGATAGCCTCAGAATACTGAACTGAAATGACTACTAAAGGCACTGTACTTGGGATGTGTCTGTTCCATTAATAGGACAGATACCCCAGCAGAAAAATTAGAAAGGGGCTTGAAGAGACACTGCACAAAAAAGAGGAGTTTAGGACATACGGAGCAGAGAAGGCAAGCAAAAGTTTGCCCCACAGCTGGTGCTAAGATTCAAAACTGCTCTGGTGAAGAGGGACAAAGGAGAGAAGGAAGGAATGAAAACTCTCTCAGGACTTCCCTGGCAAATAGCGACAAAGAACTCAGGATACCTTACAGAGGCAGGCTGGCTTTGAATATTTATAAACTCTTCACAAACCCATAAGAAAATTAGAAAATAAAATAAAAACTTGTAAAAAATATTAAAGAGGAGTACTCAAAATGGTCTCCTTGTATCCCTTGATGACCCAGAACTCAGACCAAAGGAAAAAAGGGGGTGGTCTTAGAAGATGGAGCGGGGTGGACATTATGCTCCTCAAAATATGAAGCTCAGGAAATTTCCCCACATATTCCATGCCGGTGCTACCATTTATCTACCACTGTAGATAAATAAAAATCTGAAAGAGGCCTCAAGGCGGAAGAAAATATTTCTAGCAGCACTCTCGAAAACACAGGGCTTTCAGGCTTATCAGCATTAATACATAGAACAGGGACTAACAGAAATTGGAGAAATTCTCTCTCCGTATTGTTTAATAAATATGAAACCTAGTCACCCACTTAAGGTCTTTAAATACAAGAATATACTGAAATAAGCTGCCATTTGAGCTCCCTTTAATCTCTGTTTTTTATCTTTCAGTGAAAGCACTCAATCTTAATAAAGAGGTACTAAAGCAAGACAGCAGGAAGAAAACATTACAAAGGCCAGGCCTAGAAAAAGACACTAAATCCTTCTAACCAAAGGCCTGATTCATGATCTGCCTCCCAGCACCTCAATATAAATAGAAAGTAAACGCTGAAATTAAAATGCAATGGAAAAAGTTACACTTTGGGAAGGCGTAGATATATTTTTCCCTACTCTTCCCACTGAGTACAACCAAAAACACAAGAAGACTCTGGACGGTGGAGAGAAGGCAGACCAGCTCAAGACCTCAGAATCCAAGGAATGACACAATGTTGAGTTCCTTGGGTTTTCTTTTGGCCTCATATATTCCAGACTTGGAGCTGAAAAAGTCTGCAACCTGGAAATGCCAATGGGAGCAGACACAACAAGCCCCTTCAACAAGGGAGGAAAATCTTGGCCCTTTCCTTTTGAGGAAGGGAATTGAGGATCCTCTCTGCATTCAGAGCACCAATTCTATCTTTAACTTGCAGAAATGTAAAAAAACAAATGGTTTAGCCTTTAGTAATATGGGACCCTCAAAGTATAAGCACTTGGGGAGAAGCAAACCCTCATCACTCTGATGACCAATGTCTGCCAATCACTTGGCCAAAGGAAATTAAATTAATGGAGAATTGTCTCCATTGTACCCATTCATCAGCATACTTTAAAACCTCTCTTTGGGTTAACTTACGCCATCAGATGGAACATTATTCAACCACATTGCCCTCTACTCTCAACTGTTACAATGGCCTTGACTGAATTGTTTTCTGATGTCATGCTATTCTTTTTTAGAGGATTTTTCTGAGGTACAGCTCCTGTGTTTCTTGGAAGGATAACTCTAATATGGACCTTTGTGTTTGTGATATCACCAGGCAGAGGGACAGGTTGGGAAACTGCCTTCTGCTCATAGACACACAGAAGAATTAGAGAACCAGTCTGAGGGAAAGTCTTCAGAGGTCTCCAGAAATGAAAGAAGGTCAAATCTCCTCTATAGCAGAATGAGCACAGACTGCTCTGAGAATTCTAGAGCCCAAACTCCCAGCTCTACAATTTCTGAGAGGCTGTATAATCACTTCACCAATTAGAAATTCAGCTCTCTCCCTAAAAAGCTAACAACGGATTAAATTAAATAAGGTACCTGGAGTTACTCTATCATCAACAGCGAAACACAATACATGTGGTAGGTAGTAGTAATGGTAGTAGAAATATGGAGTGAACCTTGTTTTTATGAGATGCTTCTGCCAATTGTCTTAACTTTCATGAAAAGTAATTGTAAGGGTTAGCATAAAGTATTATAATTATATATTCATATCCACATACAAATAACTATCATTTTCTCCTGAATTATAAATACTTAAAAGTCATCCTCTTTAGAGATGCTTTTAAAAATTTTTTTATTTAAAATTTTTTTAACATTTATTCATTTTTGAGAGAGAGAGAGACAGAGAGACAGAAAGAGAGAGAGCACAAGTGGAAGAGGGGCAGAGAGAGAGGGAGACACAGAATCTGAAGCAGGCTCCAGGCTCTGAGCTGTCAGCACAGAGTCCAACACAGGACTCGAACCCATGAACTGCAAGATCATGACCTGAGCAGAAGCTGGACATGTAACCTAATGAGCCACCCAGGCACCCCATGATGCTTTTTAATACTAGAAATACCAAGTTAGAACATAATGAATGTTTTCATCAAAATGGCAAAAAATCATGGCACCTGTCAAACCCATACTGCCTAAGGAAAATTTGATCACCCAGAGCCCCAGCTCAGAGGAGCAGCCCCAGGCTATTTTGGGGGTAAGGGAAGACCACTCGTAGGCCTGGGAGCTGGTGCCTGCCAAAAAGCCATTCATTGGTTAGATGACAACATAGGGGATGGTTAACATGAGCGATCTGCCCAACAGGAAGTAGTATTAGGCCAGCAGACTCTTTCCTCGGCAATTTGAAAGGAAAATAGAGAATATAAGTCAGGTGGAGAAAACCGTTGAGAAACGTTAATGAATCACACAGGAAAAACAAAGAACAAGGAAGAATGAAACTGTAGAACACTAGGGGCACCTGGGTGGTTCAGTCGGTTGAGTGTCCGGCTTCGGCTCAGGTCATGATCTCACAGTTTGTGGGTTCGAGCCCCACGTCGGGCTCTGTGCTGACAGCCAGCTCAGAGCCTGGAGCCTGTTTCAGATTCTGTGTCTCCTTCTCTCTCTGACCCTCCCCTGCTCATGCTCTGTCTCTCTCTCTCTCAAAAATAAAGTATAAAAATTAAAAAAAAAAAAAGAAAAAAGAAACTGTAGAACACCCATGACTGAATAGGAGGAATAAAATAATCTGGTTTTAAAAAACACATTAGGTGCTAACACGTGGTCTTCCCATCTTCCCACGAGATGCATCTTCTTTGTGGCCATGTCTATCCAATCTTAGCCTCACAGAAATCCTCTGTTTGTAGCAGCTTAACCAAGTCTCTATTGCTTTAACCAAAAGCATCTGACACCTACTGATTTCATTTTCTTGTCACTTAGCAGAGTGAATACCTCTACACACAGACAAAGTAATAAGTAAGATAAATATTTGTGATGCCCACACTCTATGAAAATTGCATAAGCTTGGACGTACAAACCCCTTTCTAGGAACACAAAACATCCATTTCCCTCAAGATATTTCTAAAACCTCCCTAAGAGCTTTCCGAGAATTCCTTATAACAACTGCTCATATATAATAGAACAGAAAGAATAGCTCAGTTTGGTTTTCAAAATGGTTACACTTTTGGCTCAAAGGCTGACAAAAACTGTATTGTCAATAAAAATCATTTTTAAAGAAAAAATATCAGAGTGTCTGGACTCTTAATGGAAAGCATACAGTCCCAGTGAGCAGTCTTGCTACATTTGGAAGAACTCTCTTGCAGAAAATAGATAATCCACAGATTTCCTTAGAGCTAAGTTATGAGTATATGTAATTCTGAAGACCTCTTCCATAGAATTTCCTACATTCTCTACAAGATGTACAGCACTATGTCGCTGCCCTGCTGGGACTATATGCTTGTATGCAAAGAACAATACGTGTAAATTAATGTTAGTGGTATTCCAGTATGTTCTGAATAGGCATATGCAATTGCCAGGATTAGACCAGATCTGGACTTTGGCATATGTGGTCCAATACATCAATATGAGCCAGACAGAAGGCAGAAGCTTACGAGAGATGAGAAGAGAAAGACAGCTAATTGGAAAGGAAAGAGAAAAAGACTGAGAGAGAGAGAGAGATGTTTGAATACATATTATTGAATAAATGAGAATAAAACTTTATACATTCTGAGGTTCATAAGAATGCCTGATATCCTAAGAAGCAACAGTTTCAAAGGGATGAAATAAGACCTTGAAACAGATTTGACTTTGAGCATTATATCAGAACATACAACAAAGGTGGCAGGTTTAGAATTAGAAGGAAAAGGAAGGGAAAGGAAGGGGAGGGAGGGGAGGGGAAGGGAGGGGAAGGAGGGGAGGGGAGGGAAGGGGAGGGAAGGGAGGGGAAGGGAGGGGAGGGGAGGGGAAGGGGAGGGGAAAGGAAGGGAAGGAAATGTGAGGCAATTTTATAGGTTGTCAGTTACCACATGATGTTCCAGAGAATTTTTCTATCAGCAGTGAAATAATGCAGGATTTGGGTGATATCCATGATCCACGTCACCCCCATACAAAGGACTGTAAGAACTTGTGAATCACTAGTATTTGTAAATCAATCCGAAGAGCTAAGAATACATTCAGAGTTCCTTCATTCTCTACAAGGCTGGGGAGCACCACAAACCGATCTTACCATTCCACCTGTGGGCTCGTCTATTTGATGGCAGCTATAGCAGAGACCCATTAACAAAATCCGAAACATCAGGGGGAATGAAGACCTCAACAAGAGCCTCGCTAGCACCCAGGGTAAACAGGGAGGGAAGAGGCTCATTCGTTCTTCGGAAGGATTAACCACTGTGCACCAGTTTCCCTGGACCTCCAGGGAACCCTGCCCCTCCCTGATTCCCCTGTGGGAGGGAGGGAGGCACAGGCCTAATATTAAGCATTCTCCCTTCGTCCTGCACGTTCAGTCTTCCTGTCTCCTTAGAAGGTAGGAGCCTTCTGTCCACTGGCCAGCGGGCCAGCAGAGAGGAAACAGATCAGGAACTGCTTTAATAGGAGGGAAATCTGCAAACCTTTTAGCACATGTAGCGTTGGATTTGAGTTGCATCAGCTTGTTTTCCAAAGACAGTTTTTTTTCTAGCAGTGTTCTCTTTTCCTAGGAGAAAATAAGATACAATTTTATTTCTCTGTGTGTGTGTGTATGTGTGTGCGCGCTAATTCATTCTTGCAAACTGTTCACAAAAGACACTTCTTATAATATTAGAAATATGTTTTGAGCTACAGAGCCAATTTTAGCTGTTATAACCGACTCCACGGAGGACTAGCTAGGCATTTTCCTGTGTGGTTTGCAAGTGGCTCAGTGACAAGTCAAGACTGGTTGTCTTTTCTCTCCTCATTTGCCTGGAGACTGTTTGCTCCTTCTCCAGCCCATTACCGAAGCGTTCCCAGCTCAGTAAACCTCCTGCCCCCCTCCAGCCCACCCTGAGTGCAAACTGCCAGCTCATCTCTCTCTTTGCATTGGCCTCCCTTCCACCTGCTTCTCCTACGTGAAACTGAGTCGTTAGGATCCAAGGACACTATTGACCTTATCTTCATAGCCCTATCTGCTCACGGGGCATCTGTCAGAAGGTAGAAAAGTAGTAAATGAATTCTTAGTGAAGGATCAAAGCCACAGGTGATGAGGTCACTTTCTAGTTAGAATATAGGAGAAATGTTGACATTGAGAAAGAAAAATCTAAAGAAATACCTTAATGCTGTTATTGAGCCAAACCCTTTCCACTCAAAAGGAATATCACAAGTCCATGAAAAACCCAGCTGGGACAACTGTGTTCTTTTTTATACTGAACCGTAAGACATGTGTTGACACTTTACAATGCTGCTTAAAATGGTTCCTGCTACAATATTTACATGGGTAAAATCCAAGGCAGTGTTGTAGAGCAAAAATGTCGCTATCTCGTTGGACACAGACTGACCTGGTTACATGTGACTAGGTAATTTTTGCCAAGGCTTTAACCTTTCTGGGCCCCACCTGTTAGAAAAAATTATCCAAAACTTGGAAATCAAAACAATATATGATTTTAATGTCATAGTGGGTCATTGTTTAATAACCTGACCCAATTCTCACGGAGAATTTCCCTGTGTTTATGATTTTATTGCTTATGATTTGATTAGAGCCCCGACTCTGTGAAGTTGCATGTTCATTTGCAGATTTCTGCCTGGTAGAAAAGATAAGCCCACACATTATGGTTTAATTGCCTCAAAGAATATTAACCTGTTCTGTATCTAACCTAGTAATCCAATTCTATCTTCCTTTTTTCAAAATGCTTTCAATAGCCGGTTTCTCAAAATCTTTTATTTAAGCCAGCTTTACCATCTTATTGGTTCCCTTATTAATGAATGAGTTGAGTAAAACATCTGACATATATTCATCCTATATTTGTTTGAGTCATGGTTTTTTGTTTTTTGGTTTTTTTTGAGTCATAACTTTCTGAACATGCCTAAAATGGGGACACTACTACCTATATTGAAATGTTGAGATAATTGGAGATATTACACGTGAAAGGCCCACGTGCTTTTCAGACATGTATTATGACCTCAATTTATAATAATTTGAAGGTGCCAAATGCTTCATATCTGATGTGCTATTATTTTTTAAATTTACATTAACATTTTCTCATTTTTCCTGTAGCATTCCTATCACATGTGGGAATTTCCCTTGTGTCACCCTAGTTGTGTTCAAATTATTTTTGAGGGATCACAAATATGCCTCGTAATCTTATTGCGATACTTGGGTCATCAAAGAAACACACCGTTGATAATACATTTTGACTTTGTGGGGACGGAAACGGTGTTTAACAAACATTCTTCCTAAGGGACTTACTCTCAATGAACGGACTTTCATTCCCAGCTTCAAGCAGACAAGGCAACTGGACAAGCAAACGTTGTGCAGTGGCCAGGGCTCCAGCATGTAGCTTTGGCTCTTAATGCTTCCTCTCTAACAGCACAGAAAATCACACCACACTGGCTAGCGCTTTGTCTCAGGGACAGTGTCTTCTGGAAAAGGAAAAGAGTTCACAGCACCACCCAGTGGGCAATCCACTCTTCCCCAAAAAACGGTACCTCTGCGGAGCTCAAGAGTTCCCTCGCCCTATTGATCAAAGTGGAGTAGACACCAATTTAAATAATTGCCATATGTTAACATCTAAATGATTTAGGAACCGAGTATATCATTTTTATCTGATGCTAGAGAAGACAGGGGCATAATGGAAAGCATTTTGGACTGGTAACTGGAGGACAGTGGAAATCGTTCCTTGTTCCCACTGTCCTCGTTTATAACATGGTGATGAGGAACTAGGTAGTCTCAAATGCACCTTTGAGCTCTAACATTCTAATAGAGCTAAATCAATGACACTGGAAAACAAATATGTTGCAATAGAATTGCACTGCTAGTGAAAGGAACATATGCCGTATTAAAATGCTCTTATTGGGCGTTTTTGCTGGCTTATCACTGTGTTTATGGAATTCATTCTCACTGCATTTCTGATTAAAGTGGGGCAGATGGTGAAGGTTTTAAGTAATGTGCTCATTACCAGCCCTCATACCACTAATGGCTATTTACTGGAGCAGTGGCTTGTTCAAGTGAGTAGAAAATGAATCCTTCTCCAGGGGCCACCCACTACCAGGGCAATATTTATCAACCTTTGTTGTGGGCGTTCATTTTTAATTTTCATTTCCTTTTCCTTTTCAAACTCATGTCTTTACCTTATTGACACAAAAATCTAGAGCTTTGTCTCTTCTCATTCTGACACCCCCCCCACACACACACACCTGAGGAACCCTTCATCACAGCCTGCATTCTCTGTAACCTTAAACCAAGAAGACGTTGCCAAGCTTTGTTTCTTATAAAGAAGTTTTACTTATCCACTTGTTTGTTTTACAAATATAACATGTCTTTAAACTAAATATGTTTTTTAAAAACTCTTGCACATTGCCCTTCTGCTCCATCCCCAACTATCTCTACCTCTCCGAGATTCCAATAGGCTCCATTCTAGGAAATCACTGATCTAGAATATTCTAGAAGGCTACTGCATGACCGTGAACCATGGTCATCCTGTCCACTTACTCCATCACAGAGCACCTAGAGACAGACCATCATTATGGGGCAATATCAAGATAAATGGTAGGTTTTCACTCTCAGAACTGTCTGCCAGTATTTAAGCCAATCCAGAACTTTATTCTGGAGTACATTCCCCCACCCTCAATAGGGGTGTCTGCGTCCCTAGGGAACCCTAGGAGAATGAATGAAGAGAGATATGGGAAGTTCCTTGACTCCCACACAATCCAGATATACTACACTACAGTCTCTGCAAAGATACTATATCTGGTTCATTCACAGATAGATATCTAACCTCTAGCTCTGACTATTACATGGTAAGTGCTCATATATTTGTTGAATAAACAGTCAAGTGAATATAACCCAGAATTCTGAGATGCACTCACATCCAGTACAGATTTCACAGGGTTTGTAGGATATAGAAATTATACTTTGCTGTCCTTTTGTTAATTTTCTGAGACTGACAGCTAGCCACTGAACCTTACCCAGTGTTACTGGGTTTGAGGTGATCACAAGTCTAAATTTAAATGAAAGCTGGTTAATCAGCTCTATTTGCATTCCAGAATTGTCTTCCTTTCCTAAGTGCAAACATTCTTTGTGATTAGTTTGCTGAACTATTTATTACAGGATAAATATTCTATTGCTACAAACTATTCATCCAAATGTTAGTTTGTTCAAAATATTATCACTAGAAGCTGTCATACTGCCTCCAACCAGCTGCTTGAGAACATTCTAGCCCAAGGTATCTGGTTACAGTAAAATATTCAGTAACCCACCCCACGAGGCAGATGAGCTATATATTAGTATTACTAGATTCAGTTAAATATGGGCTTATTTGATTTTTTTGTGATTGCCTCACAGGACCTTCATTGAGATTACAAGTTCAACCAAACCCAGTGTTATAAATTAAATTCTTGGGGAATATGTAAAAAGTAATCAAATTTCCTTTGGCCAGAAACCTGAATATTGAAATGTGATTCTTTTGAAGTGGCATTTCACAAATGACATCAACTCAAGCAGACATAAAACAGAACAAGGCTGAAAAAAGAAAAGGCAAACCAGGGAATTATTATAATAAATGTAAAACTTTATTGAGCAATATTTACTAGAAGTCAAAACCTATATTCTTTTTTTCTTAAGATTTTATTTTTAAGTAAAACTTCTGTTTCAGAGAGCCCAATTTTCTATTGGTTTGTTTTGCTACTAAAAACCCAGTATTCTTTGCTTTGTATTCTAAATTCTAAGGAATCCATAATTAAATTTATATGCTCACCTTTTGTTTATTTATAGAGTGCCAGCCACTCACAGGCATATTGTATAAAATTTTTAACAATTTTTGTTCAGCCACTACTCTTCCCTAAATTATCTCTTATGGAAGTTCCAATTCCTACAGAATGTCTTTCCTTCCTTCCTTCCTTCCTTTCTTCCTTTGTTTCTTTCTTTTCTTTCTCTCTCTCTCTTTCTTTTTTTCTTTCTTTGTTTCTTTTCTTTTTTCTCTCTCTCCCTTCCTTCCTTCCTTCCTTCCTTCCTTCCTTCCTTCCTTCCTTCCTTCCTTTCTTTTGAAGAGAGGAATCATGGGGGAGGGGCAGCAGAGAGGGAGACAGAGGATCTGAAGTGGCCTATGCCTTAACAGCAGAGAGCCTCATATGAGCAAGAATTCACAAACTGAACCGTGAGATCACAGCCTCAGTGGAAACTGGATGCTCAGTGAACTGAGCCAGTCAGGAGCCCCAGAATGTCTTTCCTTAATGTGAATTCTATCTGTTGTAATGCAGCCATAGAAATTTACAATCCTAAAGTGAACTCAGATGGCCAAAAAATGGATACTTCACTGAGTCTAATACATAAAATGCTATGATTACAACGATCCATTGTATTGTTACTTGGAATAAGTGGACTTTGTGATGATCCATATTGCTTCCATTCACAGCCTCCCCTGCTTCCCCTGTCTAAGCCATATGTACATTCAAGAGAGAAAGTAACAATGATATGACTGCAGTATCTGTAGAGGTAAATCCATGAGAGTACAAATCATATTAAGTGTGTACGGGGAGAAACGAACCTTATTGAGTACTTTCTAAAGTCTTAGCAGTTGCAAAGAGTACTTTCACTTAATGTCTTATTTATTTTAGTGTTATTTTCTTCCATTCTCTCCCCCAACCCTGTCAGGAAGAATCCCTTTAATTCTCCAGGGCTTACCTTTTCCATCCTCTGTACAAGGTTCTCCAACTCTGTGATTTGATGATGTTTTTCTTCAAGCTTTTCAGCAACTTGATTCAGATTTTCAACATGTTGTTTCAATTGTTGTTCCTTTTCAAGTTTGTTAACCTTTGGTCAGAAAGACAATTGTCAAATGATTGTTTTTATTAAATTTATACAGATATTATCTCCCGGTATAATTTTGAGTAGCCAAAAAAATTCAATAGTTCACACTTGATTCAAATTACACTTTCCAATTTAGTGTTTCCTTCAAAATAAATCTGATGGGCTACAACAGCAAGAAACCAAAGTAGATTTAATGATATACTAGAAGGTTTACATTTGTTCCCATTAAGCATGCTACCCAAACTGGTATAAGAAAGAGAGATACTGGGGAGCCTGGGTGGCTCAGTCTCTTAAGCGTCCAACTTCGTCTCAGGTCATGATCTCACGGTTTGTGGGTTCAAGCCCCGCGTCTGGCTCTGTGCTGACAGCCAGCTCAGAGCCTGTTTCAGATTCTGTATCTCCCTTTCTTTCTGACCCTGCCCTGCTCACGCTGTGTCTCTCACTCTCTCATAAATAAATAAAACATTAAAAAAATTAAAAAAAAAAAGAGAGATGTAAGAAATTCATACTAATGTAAGAAAAGTGAAATTTTTGACTTGTTCTCAATGAAACTTATCTAGAACAAAAATAAAATCTTACAGGGGAGCCTGGGTGGCTCAGTCAGTTGAGCGTCTCACTCTTGGTTTTTTGGCTCAGGTCATGATCTCACAGATCATGGGTTCCAGCCCCACATTGGGCTCTGTACTGACAGTGCCAAGCCTACTTGGGATTCTCTGCCCCACTCCCTCTCTCTCTGCCTGTCCTATGCTGGTGCTGTCTCTCAAAATAAATAAGTAAACTTAAAAAATAAAATAAAATCATGTACGTTCAAGTAAAATGTTTTGTTTTTAATCAGAACCACAAGAGGAGTCACTGGCCAGTGTCACCCAGGACAGTCACGACTTCTAGACAGGATGGCACAGCCTCCTCCCACCTGTGTTCCAGAAGGCTCTGGGCAAAGGTGGCAACACAGCAGCTCAACAACATGCGGCCGCCAGACTAACCAGGGGTGTGGGGAGACCGGTATAGAAGACGGGCATCCTGTCCTGCCCGAGGCCTGCTAGAGTCTCAAGGCCATTGCTTATTTCTTGTCTAACCCCAAAAGAGAGGCGTGGACTCACACACACATACACACACACACACACACACACACACACACACACACACACACTGGGGTGGTAATTCTCCAGTGAACAAGCTGCTGGCTCAGTACCTTGAGTAACTGTTTATCATCCTCATGCTTCTTTCTGACTTCTTCAGACTGTGTTTGGTAGATTTCAAATAATCTCTGAGCCACGTTTCTCAGAGCTGCCGCTCCTGCTTCCCTGGATGCTTCCAGCTTGGAAAAGAGGTCATGGTGTATGTTTTGACATTTACAGTAAAAAGGGTTAAAGGCAGAAAGGTTTGGCAGGCAATTAAAAACAGAAAGGCTGGGGGCTCCTGGGTTGCTCAGTCGGTTACTCATCTGACTCTTGGTTTTGGTTCAGGTCATGATCTGAGGGTCATGAGACCAAGCCCTGAGTGAATTGGGCTCCACACTGAACACAGAGCCTGCTTAGATTCTCTCCCTCTCTCTCTCTGCTCCTCCCATGCTCACACATGCTACTCTCTCTCTCTAAATAAACTTTAAGAAAAAGTTTGTAACTCTACCATTTGCACCCTTCCAGACAATGGCTAGGAGTATAGGCGCTCTTATCTGGTAAGAGGAAAACGTAAAACGAGAAGCTGTCACACAGAAGGATTTGCACTGGCCAAGCCACAGCACAGCTCCACAGTCACCAGCCTGCACTGACAGACCACACACCCTTCCACAAGTGCCGCACCGTCTTATCTGCTTATACACTTATTTACCGGCATTTCATCACTGATGTCCACTACAGTCCTAAAATATGTATTTTCCTAAAATAGCAGTGGGACAAGAAGGAAGTATTGAGGGCAATAAAGCTAAAGTGTCACAAATCTCTCAAGGATTTAACTTAAAGAGGGGTGTCTCGGTGGCTCAGTCGGTTAAGCTTCTGACTTCGGCTCAGGTCATGGCCTCACAGTTCATGGGTTCGAGCCCCGTGTTGGGCTCTGTGCTGACAGCTCAGAGCCTGGAGCCTGCTTCAGATTTTGTATCTCCCTCTCTCTCTCTGACCTTCCCCTCCTCACACTTTCTCTCTCAGAAATAAATTAAAACATTACAAAAAATTTTTAAAAAAGGATTTAACCTAAAGAAATAAACAAGAATGGCCATAAAGATTTACCCACAAAGACCAGGACTGTATACATGATACACCAAAATAAATAAATAAGTAAAGAATTCAACATGGATTAATTAAATAAAATAATGAGACATTTGACTCTGAGTGTTTTAATTAATATTTATTAAACATGAAAGACTTTAAAAAATCATTCAGTACGAACACTTCGCATAAGACCTATTCAAGTATATGGCACTGTATTAACCACAAAGTATAGTTTTGTATACCATATCTCTAGAATGGCTTCCGCTTGCACAACTGGAACTTTATATCCATTGAACTTTTCTAAGAGCTTTTCAATAGTAAAAGGAGTCTCCAGAATAAAGCACTGAGATTTAATTTATGAAATGGAAAGGTGTTTCTCTACGTCAGGTGAGCATTCTTGTGGATCTACGGATATATACGATGTCTGTCTGCTCTCACATATCCATGACACTATCTTATTGTCTCAAAGCCTCAAAAATACAAAAATTTAGAAATTTCTCCTAACAGCCATACCTTGATTTTCAAGACTTCATTCTCTTTGTTCATTTCTAAGAGCTTCAAGTCTTCTCCTTTCGTCTTTTCCATGAGCAGATCCAAAGCACCACAAGAACCAGAGCCATTGTGAATAGCTGGACAGCGCTGAAATGAGCAAACATGAAAATCAGAATCCTCACTATCTCTTTCCTTTGCAAACTTTGACAGCAACAATTGCTGTTCACTATTCCATCTGCCAAAAACTATTCAGGTCAGCACAAATAAAATAAATCTTTCGAATTTCAAATATCAATGAATTATTTTTTTTAAATGTTTTTTTTTTTTTTAATTTTTGAGAGAGAGAGAGAGAGAGAGAGAGAGAGACAGCATGAGCAGGGGAGGGGCAGAGAGAGAGGGAGATACAGAATCTGAAATGGGCTCCAGGCTCTGAGCTAGTTGTCAGCACAGAGAGTGACACAGGGCTCAAACCCACGAACCATGAGATCATGACCTGAACAGAAGTTGGATGCTTCAGATGCTTAACCGACTGAGCCACCCAGGTGCCCCTCAAATATCAATGAAGAATTCTAATTGAAGCAGTTGGCCTCTATATTTGCTCAAATTTGATTAGATTCTTATATTAAAAGGAGGTAGAAGTACATCTTTTATACGTTCTGTATTTCTTAAGCTTTAAGTTCTTTTTTTAAAGTTTATTTATTTATTTTGAGAGAGAGGCGCAGCGAGGGGCAGAGAGAGAGGGAGAGAATCCCAAGCCAGCTCCACACTGTCTGTGCAGAGCCCGATGTGGGGTTTGAACTCACAAACCATGAGATCATGACCTGAGCTGAAATCAAGAGTCAGACGCTTAACTGACTGAGCCATCCACTGAGCCACCCACACACCCTTTCCTACAGTTTTAAATATATCTTTAAGTCCTTTTTAGGAACTAAATAGTATCCTAAATAGGTTTTTTTTTTCTTTTTTTAATCTAAGTTGTAGACATAAATGCATTTTGCTTACATTATATTACAAGCTCACATAATCAGAGTTAATAGTTACAATACATAATAGTCAATGTTCTATGATGCCTCACTGCAATCACCACATGTTACATTTTCAGAGATGGCGGAACTGAATGTTACTGCCTGTGTAACTCCAAGTAAACTCTAGCCCATTGAAAATATACTTAGAGCATAAAATAAATTTCATCTGGAATCAAGACATGTGGAAGTGGAAAAGGAATCTCAAACCATCTAACTCAATTACATCAGTTTTACAGATAGGAAAAATGAGGTACTGAGCCCAAGTTTACATAGTAGGTATGTGGGAGAGCTCATGATACAGCCTCTTGAGTATCCATCCTATGCTTTCTGCTCTTCCAAATTATTTCGAGACAACTAAGGAATTATACAATTTTACATACCCTACAATTATACAATTATAAAATAATAACTTCTATTTTTAGTAAGCATCTATCGTGTGCCAGGTAATCTTTTAGATGTTTTGTAAATGCCCCTTTGTGTCTGAATGCTTAAATCACTAGAAGGCACTATGTCCACTATACAGATGAGAGTTTCACTATGAAGTCCAAGGTTATACCTAAAATAACTACCAGAAACAGAATTAGAACCAAGTTTGTTTAACAAAGCCAATATTCCTTCCAATACAAAATATGGGCTACATTTACAGAAATTTAAAAAACAAAAAAGAAAGGGCACCTGGGTGGCTCAGTTGGTTGAGTGTCTGACACCTGGTTTTGGCTTAGGTCATGATCTCATGGTTTTGTGAGATCAAGCCCCACGTTGGGCTCCCTGCTGACAGCGAGGAGCCTGTTAGGGATTCTCCATCTCTTTCTCTGTCTGCCCCTCCCCCACCAGTGCTATCTTTGTCTCTCTCAAAATGAATAAATAAACTTAAAAAAAAAGAACATAGTGTTTTAAACACACACACACACGAAATATGGTCACCACAATTCTGTCATGGTTTTATTTTCTATTCCAGGCCCTACTATATACTCTTACTCTATATAGAGTAGGGGTTATTTTGTTTTCTAATTTGTTAAAGAATATTCGATGGGAAGACTCTGGTAGATGGTAGATTGCTGGCAGCAGCAGATACTTGCAAAGGTCAGTGCCCCTCAAACTTTAATGTGCATATGAATCACTCGGTGAGAGATCTGATTAAAATGCAGATTCTGATTCAAGAGATCTGGGGAGGAGTCAAGATGCTGCATTTCTAAGGAGCTCACCAGGGGCACCTAAGTGGCTCAGTCAATTAAGCTACTGACTTCAGCTCAGGTCATGTTCTCGTGGTCTGAGTTCAAGCCCCATGTCAAGCTCTCTGCTAACAGCTCAAGAGTCTGGAACCTGCTTCAGATTTTTTGCCCTTCCCCCATTTTCTCTCTCTCAAAAATAAATAAACATTTAAAAAAATCCTCTAAGGAGCTCCCTGATACTGCTGCTGCTGCTGGGACTACAGCCCCCACTTCGAGAGCAACAAAGCCTTAGACAGTTATGGCTAAATTCCTACACGGACATTGTTCAGATATTGCAGGGGAGAGGGGCGGCTACTTAGATACTGGTACTTGTCTGATGACCTGAGGTTTGGGATGACCAAGGCAGACACACTGGCAGCACAATTCATCTCCATTCCTAAGAAACTACTCCTACCAAGGTCACCAACAACTCCCCATTATTATAGCCAATGGTCAAGGTTTAGTCCTAAATTTACTTAGCCCAAAGGCACCATTTGACACAGTGACACCTCCCCACTTTCTGAAACCTTTTTCACTTGTCTTCAGTGCCTCCACCCTCTCCTGTTTTTCCTTCTAGCTCACTGGCTTCTTTTCCCAGCCCGATGTGATCCTTCTCCTTTTCCTCCTTCTTAAGTGTTGGCTAGCTCAGAACTCAATGGTCAAATTTTCTGTTATTTTTATCTACACTCACATGCTCGGTGATCTCCCAGATCTTCTGGCCCAGACCTTTACCTTCAAACTCAGAATCAGATATCCAGGACCCATTAGAAACCTCTACTGCGAGGTCTAATAAAAAACCCAGTATAACCAAAATGGAATTTTCTATCTGTCCTTCACAAACCTTTTTTTCCAGGTTCTGAGCACTTAATTTAAGAAAATGTTTGGGGCTGGGTTGTGTTAGTTTGGGAGGCAGAGGATGATAAAGGGAACTATGTTTATGTCTCATACCCTATGTTCTGCTTTGTCTGTGATTATACTACATAGTGAGCAACACTGACATTGATGAGGTGCACTTGGCTCTGATGAGCTCTAACCTGGCATAATCCAGACAAGGCTAAGGATAGATAGCTTGATGTTAAGCATATAACGCCAGTCACAAGGGAAAGGGTGCACTTAAGCTTATCAATTGTCTAATCACTCGACCAAATGGCCTAACAGCTTCAACTCTGTGTCCACTGGTATGACCAAGGTGAACCTAAAAGCTTGTACCTCTGTCAGTCTTTTGGAAATGTTGCTGCCATATATCCTGGCTGGTCTGACATCGTCTCGTGTACTTTAGATAAGTAAGCCCCACTTAAAATATTCAAGTAAGGTCCAGTCATTGCAACCTGATGCTACTAATAACATCTGCAGTTAAATATTTCATACAAATGCCCATTAATGTCTTCAGATACTGACAAAATATGTAACATTCATCATTGAAAGCTTCCAAGAATAATTTAATAGTCATCTTACAAAGTTATTTAAACTAAGTTTATACTGTTTTACATTTCTTTACTGAAGGAATAAAGTGGTACATGTGAATAAATTCATTACCTTTGTTTCTAGTTTGTGATTTGTGCTGTTATGTCCTCCTTCGTCTTTAAAAATTTGATTTCGGATCTTTTCCAAAGTGGTTCGGATCTAGGAGAAAACAATATTCTATTTTTTTCAAAGGCATTTAATGCTAAATACTTTTTTTGTTTATACCAGCTACAGTATACCTGATTTATCTAGAAAGTAAGACCTAGATAACTACCATCAACCTGACTTGCATTTAAACTAATATTGCAGAAAATGAGCATTTGGTCTTTATAATTCTTTCTCAGTCAAACCTAAAATATAACCTAAATGAATGTTATACTATAAAATAATTACTATTTAGTAATTAGTATTAATACTATTTAGTTCTATTTTTTCTATGTAGTAATTTAGTCCTAATTTACTGTTTAGTAATTACTATAAAACAATTACTATTTAGTAATCACTACAAAATAATTACTAGCTAGTAATTACTACAAAATAATTACTAGCTAGTAATTACTGGAGAATAATTACTATTTCGTAATTACTACAGAATAATTACTAAGAGAAGATCATACAACTTTATGCATGAAATATAAGCCCATGTCTTAGTGACCTATAGAAGTGCAAGACACTCAAAGATGAATTAATTGATCTGAATAAGTTACAAACCATCTCTGTCCAAATTTTTCCATCTGTTCTAAGAAATAATTCTTAAAAATATATAGTTTTGTCAGCCATTATCATGGGATTCTCATCAGATTTCACATGTTGCCAACATGCAGTCCTTGAGGGACAGACAGCAAACCTGAGCCGTGGAAAGAAACCAGCTCAAGAGAGACAGAAACCCAGCAAAACACACAAACATCTCTTGGGAACATAGTATCAGCTCTCATGAAACACCTGAGAAATTATATAAAACAGTAAGAAGTGCAGAGGTGAATAGTGAGGGGCAAAATAAGTGCTGACAGGTATTCTGAACCCTTCTGGCCCATTATTCAATTTTACTCCACGTGTGGGAACAGAGGTTCGGATCCTCAAGAGAAGTTACCAAACATGTTGAAATTTCAGAGATCGAGACTGTCCTTTGCCAACCGAGTCCTCACATGTTCTATGGAGGGAGAAACAAACCCCACTAATCCATAGTAGATTTCATTTAAAAAAATCATCTCATGGTGATATGGTTTCCAGCACCCGCATACCTTTTTCACATATTCGGTCTCTTCAATGATGTGAGCTGATGTGGATTCATACCAGGCAGAATTATCTTCTATTTTACCCACTGGGGGAACTTTTGTGGTTACAGTTGCTGTTGTCATTGTGAATTCTGGCTCTAGGAAAACATACCTCAGTTAGACAAAACTAACTGCTCTGGTGATACGATATAATATGGTTCATAACCTAAAGGAAGTTCTAGATTAGCCCTGTCATGAAATATAGTAGAAAATATTATAAATTATTGATATCTGTATACATCCATAAATCCAGGAATTAATTTAACATAAAACAATACCAGCTGAAGCATTCATTGATTAGAAGTGTAAAAATTAAATTATCTGAGAAGGAAAAATGTAAAATATTTCTTTTCATTCTACATCATATGGGACTGTAAAACCTCATGAATAGGGAAGGGACCACATCTTATTCATCATTATATTCTAGCATACTGTAAATGCTTAATAAATTATTGTAGAAGTAAAATAATATATTACAACAAAATCATATGTATATATCACATGTATAAGTGATATGTACATGTATAAATATCTATAAGTGATGTATACGTATATACACATATATCTATGTGAATGATATATACATTTATACACACATGTATATAAGTGATATATACATATGTATGTCCTTTATACACATATATACCCATATGCGTATATCGCTTATATACACTATACATTATACTTTATTTAACTCTCAATAGCCTATAAAAGTCATCTGTGGGAAGACTATTTATAATAGAAAATTATTAGGAAAAACCCAAATACCTACAAAAAGACAACTGATTGAATAAACTATCTACTACAATGGAGTCATCCCTAGGATGCATTGTTCAATAAAAAAGCATGGTGCAGAAAAGGAGATAGAAAGGATATATAGCATTATAATTTCTAAAAGAAGAGAGAGATGGATAAAAAGGGAAAACCTGTGATTTAAGATTTGACATTGAACATTGTAATTATTTTACCTAAATATAAATAAAACTAGATTAAAAAGAAGATGAAAACTTTCAAGATAAGAAATAAAACAAATGAATATATCCGTATATCACACTGGTGACGTATCTACATGAATTATTTGAAGTGACTTTACAACAAACCCCAGGGACTATTTATCCCGGAAATGCCCCAAGAACAGAAAGAATTGCAAAACAATTGGGGCACCTGGGTGGCACAGTCGGTTAAGCATCTGACTCTTGATTTCAGTTCATGTCATGATCTCTCAGTTCATGAGTTCAAGCCTTGCACTGGGCTCTGTGCTGGCAGTGTGGAGCCTGCTTGTGATTCTCTCTCTCTCCCTCTCTCTCTCTCTCTCTCTCTCTTTTCCCCTCCTTTCTCTCTGCTCCTCCCCCACTCTCTCAATCTCAGAAAAAAAATTGCAAAACAATCTTCAACTACACTCACTAATAATATTGTTAGTGTAAATATTGGTATTGCTATTTTGAAACTAGTATATGTGAATGTGCACATAAATACATAATGTAGAATAAAACCACAAAGTCATTGTCTTAACCTCATTAGGAACCAAGATTTTGAGCATAAAAACTAAGATTTTTGAGGGAAAAAAATCCTACAATCAGAAAAAATGTTCTATAAAAACCTTATACTCCAAACTGAAATTATGTGTATAAAATAATGATTTATCTTCCTTTAAAAATGTATATTCTAGGTTTAGTCACTCAAAAAATTAGAAATATAAGCAATTAATACTCCCAGGGCCCACACTGTGCTCTCAGTACCATTTTCTACAAAAAGAAACCACAGCTTCTTGAATGATTAAATCTAGGACAAGAAATGTACAAGATGAGTTCAAGATATCTTGCTAAACCAGAAGGCAGAAAGTGATCAAATATTACTCAAATAAGACACAAAAATCAAGCTGACAGAGGAATAACTGAAGGATCAAAACATATAAAGAATTTTGAGGGGCACCTAGGTGGCTCAGTTAAGTGTCTGACTCTTGGTTTTGGCTCAGGTCATGATCTTATGGTTGGTGGGTTCGAGTCCTGTGTCAGGCTCCAAGCTGCTCGTGCAGAGCCTGCTTGGGATTCTCTCTCTTTCTCCCTCTCTCTCTCAAAATAAGTAAATAAAAACTTGAAAAAAATTATTTCTACTAATAAATCCAAATGGACTGATAGAATTAGAAGACTACATTTTGCAATCCCTTAGGAAGTAATAGATCTAAACAATAGTTATCAACCAGTGCTAGAATCATTAGGTGAGAGGTTGATGAAGAATGCATTAATCTGGGGAACCTCACTAATCAATCTTAACATAAGTAGAAAGAGAAAACCAGGTACTTTGTCCTCTAGATGAGGTACAATCACAAGTAGAAAGCATCACTTATGAAGTATGCTTAAAAAAAAAAAGTGAACTTGAATCTGATCAAGCCTCTATATCTAAGGACAGTGAGTATCTGAATAAGAGGAAAATGTTCAATGATTCTGCAAGAGTGAAGGTTACAATCAGCCAAATCCAAATTATGTGAAATTTTACAGGAAAATAACTACTTCCTTATTATATGAAGGAAGATGGGGGAGAAGAGAAGGAAAATTGCCATAAATTAAGACTCTTAAGAAACATGTGACCAAATGCAATATATGAATCTTCTTTGGCTCTTGATTCAAATAAATCAGTCACATAAAGACATTTTTAAGACAAATGGGGGAACTTTAACACTACTGGATAATAGATGATGTTAAAGAATCACTGTAGTTTTGCTAAGTATGATATTAGAATTATGATAGATCTTTTGAAAGATCTTTTCTGTTGGTCACATACTGAAATATTTGCAAGTAAAATAACATTAATTTGGAATTGCTGTAAAATGTTCTAGTATAGAAAAAAATCTGGTGGGATAAAGATGAAAGAAATTTGGCAAAATGCAGGCAGTCATTGAAGTGGGGCAAGGGCACACTCCTCTGCCTATTTTGTTTCTGTTTGAAATTTTCATAACAAATAGTAAAGAACTAAAATATAAATAAATAAATAAATAAATAAAATGAAATGTCCTGTGAAGTAGGATTATTCATCTCATTTTACTGATAAGGAAGCCAAGACTCCCATAGGTGGTAACTCACCCAGGGTCACAATAAAACTAACAGAGCTGTAACTCAAGCCTTTGTCTTCTGGACACCAAGTTCAAGGGTGTTTCCATCTCATTAAGGTTGGCTTCCCTACTGAGAAAAAAAAAAAAAAAAACGACAAGAAAAATATTTAACATTTAGCAATGACCTATGCTGTTAGAGCGTACAAAGAATTTTAATATTTGCAAGTGTCACTTTAAAACCAGATAGCTGCTGGAATAACTCCAAGTCCTGTGTTTATCCTTTAATCTTCAATGAAATCGACAGAGTATGCCAAGAACTGTCCATTTTATTATAAATCCTCTTAGACAGCCACTATGGCTTCTATTTGTTTCGCCTGAAGTTGATTTGGCAGCTACAATTCAGCAAGTCTCTTTTGCAGCCCGTGAGTGGAGGTGTCTCTGGTCCTTAGTCCTCTGACATCTCTTCTGGGATGAAGTTCTTGGTACCAGAGGGCATTTAAATAAAACTTGAAATAAAAGCAACATCCACAGACACAAGAAGCAGTGTGTCTACAAAGCAGAAGGGCACAGTCAGGCTTGTGAGGTGGTCGGCAAACCATGTGAGCCCAGGCTGGCTTCCCACATATTTGCACAGACTAGGAACTAACAGTGGTCTTAGAGTTTTTTAATGGTCCAAAACACACACACACACACACAGACACACACACACACACACACACACACACCCCAAAAATCAAAACAAGGACATTTTGTGACACATGACAATTCATCAAGTGCAAATTTCGTGTCCATAAATGAAGGTTTCCGATATCACAGCCATTCATTTATACATTGTCTACGCGGCTTGCTTTGGCTGTATGACTGCAGAGTCGAGTGGTTGCGACAGGGAAAATATGTGGTAAGCAACGTCTCAAATATTTAAGATCTGATCCTTTACAGAAAAAGTTTGCTGACCCCTGGGTGAGGGTGTAGCAGGGCATGGGAGCAAAATCTGTGGGAAAATAGAGGCAAGCAGAATAATTGGTTTGGTCTGAGTTTTGTTTTGTTCCCCAGTTCAATCCCTCTCGATCTATGGTCCTATTTGATGGATTTGCATTCTTTGTTTTCTTTTTAAGATATTACACACTGTGTACATTAACAAACGATAAGGGGCATTTCAGCACAGGAATTAATCACTCCTCAGAAGAGGTTCTGATAGATTCTCACAGTCTTTCATAATTTGAAAATCACATTAGGCCCCACTTTATATATCTTAAACACACTCTCTTCTGTGCCTTTTATTCTTGATATCAAGGAATTATGCTCCTTAATCATTGGTATTTCTCAAAATATCGTACCTCCTCCACTCACTGGTTGGGCTACCTTAAACAAATTACATAAAACTTTAGCCTCGACTTACCTGTATCTGTAAAATAGGGGTAAAACACCTACAGATGCAAAACTGAGGGGTTTTTGCAATTATTTTAAGGTTTATTTATTTATTTATTTTGAGAGAGCAAGGGAATGAGTGGGGTAGGGGCAGAAAGAGAGGGGGAAAGAATTCCAAGCAGTGCAGAGCCTGACATGGGGCTCGAACTCACAAACTATAAGATCATGACCTGAGCAGAGATCAAGAGCCAGTTGCTTAATCAACCGAGCCACAAGGCACCCTTGAGCGTTTTTTTTTTAATTTGCTGCTTCCAGAAGGCACTAATTAATGGACAGTAATGGTTAATATCGTTGCTCTTATTATTTCATATTATTAATAACCACTGAAGACATGCGGCCCGTAACAGAGGGGGTAGTTCATGCCTATCTGGGTGCAAAGTTTATATCCAACTCTATTCAAATGAAATAAAATTCCACTTCTTTCCTTGATTCAGGAAATCTTTGTGTCCTTGATTTGTATAAAGAAGCCCAAGGGGAGCTTAATCCAGCCAAGTCCAAATTGCCATATGGCATTACCATCCTGGGGAAAATCCATCTTAGCATTTGATTTCTGCCAAAAGTAGATTAGGCAGATAAAATTTTCAAAATAAAACACAATCAGTTAATGAAAGTGAGAAAAGAATTTTATTTGTTTTATGCTGGAGAGGATTGAAGTCAGCTTTGAAGTGGCATCGCGCCAAGAGGTGTTATTTCCTAGATCAGGGCTTTTCGAGTAGGGCTCCCAGGGGGAAGGGGAGGTGCTAAGTAGACAGAGCTTTGCCTTTCTCACTTGACCCAAACCAGTTCTGCTTTGTTCTGTCACACATCGAATTGTTTCAAGAGACTTTCTGTGAAGAAAGAACATTCTACAACTAAAAGGTTTATACAGCCACTCGGCAGCTGGGTGACCTTGGGCAAGTTTCTTAACTTCTCTGTGCCTCAGGTTCCTTAGCAGTTAAATTCAGATAAAATTAATAATGAATGATGATAGAAATAATAAACAATATGAGGCTGTTTGAGAGTTAAGATTTTCCAGGCACGTAAAACAGTGCCTAGCACATAATAAATGGTTTGTATGTGTTTGTCCAATGAGTAAATAAAACACGAATCCATTATCCACAATGACTGTTGCTAAGCAGTCTGAATGCTAGAGAAGAACCAAGTAATATTTTAAACAGTCTGCAGACCGAGCAACGCTATAAAGGAAAATCTGCTTCTGGGATTTTAAGATTAGCAAATCCATGGTATTGGTTCTTTCTCAATAACACATCAATAATTCATCAACATCCCCAACTGATTATGCTAAGATATAATAAATAGTTTACAATATATAAAGCAGTTCATACACACTAATGGTAATGTGTGTGATCAGCCAACACATCTGTGAGCGTCCAGGATAATGTAACGAAACCTACTTCTCTATTTAACGACATAAGAATGGCTTATCCATGATACAATAAACACATATAAGGCACTGTTACAGAGCTGAATTTTGCTCCCTCTCCGTTCCTATGTTGAAGTCCTGACCCCCACTATCTCAGAATGTAACCTTATTAGGAAATAGGATTATTAAAGATGTAATTAGTTAGCATTAAGTTACACTGGAGTAGGCTGGGCCCCTCATCCAACATGACTTGTGCTTTTATAAAAATTCAGACACAGCAGGAGAATGACACATAAAGTGGAAGATAGAGAACAAGGTGATGCTTCTGCTTACCAAGGAACACCTAAAACGCAAGCAAACCACCAGAAGCCAGAAGCAAAGCATAGAACAGACTCTTCCTCACAGCCTCAGAAGACCCCAACCCGACCAACACCTTGATCTTGGACGTCCAGCTTCTGCAACAGTGAGGCAAGAAATTACTATGTTTAAGCCCCTTAGCTTGTGGTACTCCATCAGAGCAGTCTCAGGAAATGAATACAAATGAATACGGGTACTGGTTACCCTCTAGAGATGCTAACAAAGGTATTTTTTTCCTTCATTTAACCTTTGATCAATTCATTCATATATTTAATATTTATTAGAATACAGCTGTGTCACGTGCTGTGGCCACCACAGAGGTGCACCAGACACCCTGCGTTTCTGGGACTTTCAGTATGGAGAGGAGACGGACATTGAACGAAACAGTGACTACATAGGGAATGTAACGAGAGGTGGTGACTGGGTGATGGAGAAAAGTAGAGAAGGTGGAAAGAAAAGTAGAGAAGGTGGAAAGAAAAGTAGAGAAAAGTAGAATAAAGGAGGTGCCGTTTTGGGTGAGTGGCGAGGGAAGGTCAATCTGAAGAGGCGGCATTTAAGCAAAAGACTTGACTCAAAGGACTGAATTTGTGTGGCCCCCTGGGAGAGGAGGATGCCAGGCAAAGTGGGGAGCAAGAGAAGAGGCTGGAAGTTGCTTGGAATGACGTTCTCGGAACAATGTATGCAGCAGCGTAGAGCGCCACCGCTTTTTCTTTTCTTTCAATGTAGCAGGGATTTTTTTTTTTTTTAATACTGAAACTTGTTAAGACTTCCAGTTTACTGAAGGAGGTGTCTCCTGAACTACTTCAAACAGGTCTAGTTCTGGCTGGTCTGGCTCTCTCAAGGTTGAAGGAAAGGCGGGGTGTAGCAAAGCATGGGACAAAGTGTGCCACAGGGCGTATGCCATTGACTCCAGGTCCTTGCACAGAAGGGACAGTAAAATTCAGCTGTCTGCACAGCGGCAGCCTCAGCTCACTTCTGTGGGTGCTGAGAAGCACCATGTGGATACGTGCATGTTTCGATGGTCCAGCCCTTGAATCTCCCCAGATTATGTGGAATCACCACCTGTATGAGTCTTTGCAGAAAGGTCCCTAACTTGTCCTTCCTCACTCCCTGGGGCTGGAGCAAGTGAGTCACCTGAGGGCTCCCATCTGGAAAGGCCGCTAGGGGGACTGGCCCTTGGGCTTGTTGAAGCTGGAGGCAGTGAAAACCCCATAATTATCCTGGGAAGGGAAGGAGCCCGACATAGAGCACGGCTTTGTGTCCCGATGGTTCCAGGAAGGGACCAGTGGCAGTACCAGGACTCTATCTTACTCTCGTGACAGCCTGATCTTTGATGAAGCACCAGCACACTGGATTCTTCCATTGCCAAACCAATAAACTCCTTTTCAACTTCTGTGATGCAGGGTCAATTCGCTTAACTGATTGGTTTGCAACCAGGAGCCCTGACTGGTCTTAGCACAGTTTTTGAGTTGTCAGTTTCTCAGTTCTGAGCTAACAATATTGAACATTGTTTCATCATTCTTGGTCACTATTATTTGGAGCTTAGATATTAGAGACTGAAAAAGTAAGTTGCAATAAAAGCGAACAAGGGTAATTAGGTTATATGAGGGGGAAAAAGCTCACATACCTCCAAGCTCTTGGCGAGACTGACCGTGCCCTGAATATTAAATACACACCTGTTCTGCAACTAGATTACACAGCACAATGGTGACATCCAGTGTCAGCTGGCTAAATCTCAGGTGACTGTGCAGTTTACCTGAAAATAACAGGCAGTATTTCAAAAGACACACAAGGTAACACTGAGCTCAAATAATAATAACATTGTTTTCAAGTAATAATCTGCAATTTTTAAAGTAGAATTAATTTTATTCATTTGTGATACTCGTGTATACAAACAGATATCTACACCATGACCCATGCTATAGAAAGCTCTTAGATAGGAAATAAAAGCTATCTCTTTTTTTTAATAGGATTGAAGTATT